GAGAAGTGGGTTACAAAAACACCTTGGGCCTACACAGCTCTCCCCATCCCTTGTCTTAGTCTAACTTGCATAATTTAATACAATGATGCAGGACCACATAGTGATTGAGAAATGGGGAGCTCTGAAGCTGGAGATCCTGAGGTTTGAATGCCAGCTCAGTCTAGGGCTGAGTCTAGACCAGTCAGTGGCTTTGGCTAAATGAGGAAAAGGTGCTCCCTTTGCATAACTGGGCCCACAGGACTTGGGCTACCCTCCACTACAGACATGCGACCTTGAACAAGTTACCTAATACCTCACTCCTCAGGACTTGGTGCCTGTTAAAATATATGGATGATGCCAGTGCCTATCTGACCTGATGACAGAACCAGCTAATGTGTGTGAGGTGTTTAGGACACAAAACACGGAGCATGCAGCAAGCTCATAATCAATGTCAGCTGTTACTTTCATAGCATTGTTATCCTCAGTCCTCAGGAGGACAAGCTGGTTTGGACATTTGAGCTCCAGCCTAGGCAAGTCCAGCTTCAATCTGCCATTTGAGAAAGTAATTGCAGACATCTTTCATGGAGGTTTAACTATGAAGGTTTGATGTCTCGGCTGATTTCTTCAGGAATTTCCAAAGAACAATATAAACATCCCCCTTCTAGAAGTGCCTTTGTCAAGAGAGAATAATGTGAAGCTCACTGGGTTGGAGGGGTACCCCCATGCCCCACCACACAGACCCAACAGGAAGAGATGGACTTGACCTCACAGGGACTTGACCTTGCTCTACCTTACTATCCCAGCTGGAGGAAGAAGGGCTCTCCTTGTCACCACAACCCACCACCCCTTCTGCCTAACAAGAGCTCAGGCAATGAGAAGACTCCACACTTCTAAATCCTGGATTACTCCAATGGACTCCCGTTTGTAACAGCCTTCCCAGCTTCCCCTTTTCTCCTGATAGAAGCAAAACTGTAGAGGCCACTTTTAGGCAAACAGGTTTGCGGGATGGAATGTTGAAAGGGCCCACCGTGTCCCCCTGGCTGAATACAGACAGGCCCATCGGGGACCCACCTCAAAATATCCACATGCCCTAACTTACCAATGGCCCACTTACCAAAAAGGAAAAATGCCACATGTGGCCTTACTTCCTCACCTTCCCCCTTTAAAAACAACCTCCAGGCACTGTCTCCTTGCAGACGGTCTCTGCTTTGCTATCCCGCCCTCTGCTCTCTTGCAGTGTATCCAATAAAGTTCTTGTTTATTGACTCCTTCCTTCTGCCTCAGGTGAATTCTCTCGCAGCCTGTGTGCAGGCTTCCTCCAGATCATCGTCCCACATTCGGGGCCCCCCGTGATTGGGACAGACACTGCATTCAGACACCACATTTAGTGGCCCCTGGCCGGGGGGAACCCCCACACAAGATCCCTTTATCAGTCCCGTGACTCCCCCCGGATTCTCCAGGAACTTACGGGGACTTTCCCTCGGTGGACCCACTCCAGTACTCCTCAGGGAACTGACAACCTCCGCTGAGGTGACTCCTTGCTGAGGGTCCCCAGCCCCAAGGGGAAACAGCCCAAATGCCCCTGCCCCGAAGGGTGAGGGATTTCCCCGTCTGCCCTTCGGGGAGGTCCTTCCCTCCCCGCCCACCCCTCCGATCCCCGCCTCTTTGCGGCCCTTTCACAGTCTAACCCTAGTACAACTGAAGGTCTCACACAACCGGAGGTCTCCGGCTGGGGCTGCTCTCCCTTGTGGTCTGAAGGTCCGGGGGCGACCCGCTCAGACTGCGGGCACTTGGGAGGGCGAAGGAACCCTTCCCTCTGCTTCGTCACCCAGCCCTGGGAGGTGTGTTTCCAGCTTCCTGCGCAATTGGCTGGCCCCGCGCGAATCCGCACACTGGAGGCTCGGGGCGTGGCTTGGCGGGGGGCGGGGCAGGGGTGTTTCCCGACGCGGACTCGCTGCGCCGGCTTTCTTCAGCCTCGGCTCCTTCTCCGCTCTCCCTGCGCGTCCCGCCGCCGTGTGGATCTGCGGGCAGCGCCATTCCCGCTGCTGTGAGCGGTGAGTCCTCCCGCTCCTTTTCCCCAGCCGGTCTGGCCAAACTGGTGTGCGGCTCTCGCTGTTGCCAGGGGATGTCCCCACAGGAAGTGCCAGGCCGGTTGCTGTGACCCGCGCGGTGGTGGGACGCCACCGGAACAGTCTGTCGCCTCCTGTGGGTCCTCTCCTTCTTCAGGTCAGCGGGTCGCCCTGAGTGAAATCCCGACCCCCAGCCGGAGCTCCGCTTCAATCCCTTTGGCTGGATGCCCCTTGGGATACGTAGCGGGTCTTTCTCACTGTGGGATTCCGTTTGGGCTCTATTTATAAAAAAAAAAAAAAAAAGCTGGAAGAAATTTGGGACTCGCGGGCGACTCAGTCCTCTGAGCATGCCAGCTCTTGGTTTCTGTCCGGGTCAAGATCTCAGAGTGTGTGATGGAGCCTTAGCTCCGTCTCCAACCTCACCAAGAAGATGGCTTGAGATCTCTCCCTCTTCTCCTTTCTCTCTCTCTCTCTCTGTTCCTCTTTTGCATAAATAAATCAGACTTAAAAAAAAAAAAAAAGCTATAAGGAATCTGATCCCCAAGGCCTAAGGAAAAATGTCTCATCTTTCTATGTTTTCAGGCCTTGGTGCAGACTCCCAGATCAAGACATATGGCCCTTCCACATGATGGGGTTTTGGAATATAGGTGAGGTTCTGAGCGGAAGGCAGAGGCTTAACCCGCTGAGCCACTCAAGCTCCCCTAGGGTTGACTTTTAAGTGGACTAAGTGGAACGTAACTTGGTATTTAAACTGGTTGCCACTTTTATTCTACCAAGGTTTTCTCGAAGTCAAATTGATGAGGGAGCAGAAGGCTAGCTGAGAACAGGCAGAAGCTGACACCCCACCACCCTCCCCTCCCCCTGGGGGTGTATGTGACATTCCTCAGGTACTCCTGGCTGCCCCAAAGGAAAAACAAATAGTTAATTTATAGAGATTCCATACCTGCAAGACAGGAGTCCCCCCCAATTTAGGAAAGTCTTAAGAATTTACAAGAACAAAGCATTTGTATCAATGGCTTAGCTTCCAGAAGGGATTGTAGATAGAATTAAATATCCTTATAATCTGCAGCCCACTGACAGACACTTGAAGTGGGCAAAGTGTAATGTTCCTCCAGGAAGCTCCCAACTATCTCACTGTTAAGGCCTCCTAGAAGGAAAAATAACCTTAACTTGACAATGGCAAGGCCTCTGGTATCCTGGTATCTGGTTTGTTAAAGTCTTTAACATGCAAAAATCCTTTTGAAGTCTCCCCTTTTCTTACCTCCCCAAACTCCCAAGTATATAATTAGCCACCTCTCAGAAACCCAAGGCAGCAGCTCTTTTGCCCATGGGTCCTGTCCCCGTGCTTTAATAAAACCATCATTTTGGGGAAACCTGGGTGGCTCAGTTGGTTAAGCCGCTGCCTTTGCCTAAGGTCATGATCCCAGAGTCCTGGCATCGAGTCCCGCATCGGGCTCCTTGTCCAGCAAAGAGCCTGCTTCTCTCTCTGCCTCTGCCTGCCACTCTGCCTATTTGTGCTTTCTCTCTGACAAATAAATAAATAAAATATTAAAAAAAAAAAAAACCCACCATTTTGCACCAAAGACTCTCAAGAATTCTTTCTGGGTTGTGGGCTCTGGACCTCACCCCCACAGAACCTCACCTATTTCCAAAACCACAAAATAACCTCGTGTTATCTCTGTTGTAATTTGTAAAAAAGATGACTTAAAATGATGATTAATTTTGTCTCAAAGTTTTCAAGAGTCATTGGTACTATAGCTTTCAAGGTCATTGGTGAACTGAAATTTTGAAGTTTTGCTTGCTCAACCAAACTGGATTGAATTCATTGGACCTCTAAGTCTTTTCCAAATGAGATAAAATTCTACAACATTGATTACTGAACATAGGTTTGTGGTTTTGGTTTCTTATTGCAAACAAACTAAGGGTCTTTGAATCTGCTGGTAAACATGCTTTGTGTTTAATTGATTCATAAATTTGCCATCTAAAGAATTTTGGTGTAATGATTCATGATTGGTTACTACTGAGTTTTCCTGGAGACTTAAGGTTTCTAAGAGTAAAATTCTGCTAAATACAGCTAAGCCTGATGGAAGTAAGGGAAGCAACTCTATGTAGGAATAAAGTCAAAGATCTGTAAGAAAGGTATAAGGAGTGGAAATACATTTTTGTTGAAGGAGAAAGAATGTAGTCTTGCCCAAAAATGAGGCTGGTTGTTTGAAAAAAAATGGCTTGGTACAAAATCTGAACACATGAGAAAGTTGTAGAAGGTTTGTGAAGGGAATCTTTGGAAAGGTAATTTTACGTGTGGTCAGGACAGGCGAAGATTAAATGAATGGATTTTAAATTACACTGGATAAGTTTGAAATTCTCTTTCTGTTAAAGTTTTCTTGGATTGTTGGTCTGCTCTTGATAAGAAGATGTAAACATGGCTGTTTTCTCTGTCTGCCTGAAAAACCAGTTTCTGTTTTTTCTGGTCTTTGATTATCTGTAATCCTATTGGGCATATGCTTTAAAATTTTCTAAGGTTTTTAACAAATCCCCCCTAGATTTGAAATTGTAAATGAAGTCTTTTTGACTAATTAGGCTTGTTGATTTGGAATGTTGTGTTCTGGTATAAAGTCATCACTCTGTACTATTATTATTAAAGTGGTATGTGGTATGTGTCACAGAAATAACTGAATTTCCTTATCAGCTACATTATAATGAATTCTCTTTTCAGATCATTAACAGTGTCCATTTCAGAGGTTTTTGGTCACTTACTGTTCTGATACTCTTGCAAAACGTGTTTCATCTTCAAGGAATTTCATAATGGGCTTTTGAAAGATACAGGTATTTGATACCTTTAAGATCAGAAAACTGAAATGGGTAAGAATTTCCAGAACTGACTAAAAATCTCCATTCAAATGGAGTAAGAATTGATAACATGGAACTAAATGAACTGGAGAAGATGATTATAGTTTCATGACTCTTGTTTGAAACATTGCTTGTTCTCTAATGTTTGCTCTTAAAGATTAAGGAGACTTTCTCTTAAGATGTCTGTGCCTTACAGTAATGTGATAAAGTATTCATATGTGAAGAAATGGAAGCATTTAACTTTTCTCTCTATTCACAACTTTTCAGTGAGTACTCCTTCTTTCATGACAATCAGAGTTGTTTGCGTAAGTTGACTAAGAATCTGTTCTCCTTGCAACGGGACATCACTGGAAACATTGGTTATTTAGCAAAGCTTTGACTGGAAGGTCATAGTTGAGAGACATGCATAGACTCGGATATAACCAGACAGCTTTAAGGAACTAAGATGGACTTTATGGAGTGAACAAAACTCCTTGAAAATGTTCCTCTGAAACCTTGCTTCCAGAGCTCCCACAGCCTTGCCAGGTGAGTAAAGAATGTTAGTTCCTGGCAGGTGCAGGGAACTCAGGATATTTGGGGACCTCCAGAAGAGGAATTTGCATAAATCTACAGGTATTGTAGGCATGTCTGATGGCATCTGTTGGCTTGGATTCTGGCCTAGGGAGGCTACTGAAAGTTCAATTGAGATTCCTTATGAATAGTTCCAACAGAGCAGATTTTAGATCTAGTGGTCAATCACTATTCTTGCTGAGCTTATGTAAATAATTAGGTCAAGTTTGCTAAAATTGGCCTTGTTTGTGAATGAATTAGTCTTGATCTGGTTATCTCTGGAAATAAGGGTAAATTTAGGGAAAAATAATGTTTCAGTAACACACCTTTGCAGATGTTAAATTCTAGTTCTGATTGTCTTTGACTATTTGTTGTTTGCCTAAGCTAGACAACTCAAGGTAAAGTAAACATTGCCATAGTAGCACAGGTATAGATACTCTTCATGCTTGTTATCCTGTGGGGATAATAACAAGACCCCTGGACATATGATCTTTTGAACAGCTGGAAAATGGAATGGGCTCTCCAACATCTGTATAAGTCAACAAGCACCTTGACCAGTTCTCTGTGGCTAGAATGACAAAATTTTTCCTTAAAAGCCAGTGTGAACCCCATTCCATGGGGTTAACTTTGGACTTGTGGTGATAATGGATCACCCCACTTTCCTTATGACTGGATGGATGATACACTTGGGGATGCCCATGTTCCCAGACAAATCTTCTCCCACTTGCCAGTGATTCCTCATAATAAGCATATTGTTATGATTGTTATGGCTAGCTTCAAACAAAGAGGACTTCTTGATGGTTTTATTCCTTAGCTATATTTTCCCCAGAGGTCACTTCTATTGATAAAAAAAGTGCAAGTAGAGGCTTGAACCAAGCACACAGTGACCACCTTTAACTAAACTCGATATGCAGTCACCCACAAATTCAAAAGATGGCCCTCCCAAACTGAATGACCCTTGATGTCCTGATGGGAGCTCAAGGAGGAACCTATGATTTATTAAAACAGAGTGTTATGTATATACTTCAGAGTACCACAAAAATAGTCTGGGTTTCTAACTGACATGGGTGCTGGGGGCCAGTGAGAAGGGCCCAGGTCAGCAGGGGCAACTCCCAGTCCTTATAGAGCCATGGACACAGACTACAGACCATGAGGGACCCTCTGTAGAACCAGGGCAGGGAGCAGGTGTCACTCCTAAAACCCAGGGCAGAGAGAGGGTCTGGGGTACAATATCACAACCTGAAGTCATAGCCCCAAACATCTTCAGCTCTTTCTGGGAGGAGCAGGGAAAGTATAATGGGGCGATGGGGGGAGATACGATCAGAAAGACTGAATTCAGAAAAGCTCCTTACCCAAGTCAGACAAAGATATAACTTGTTTTAGGGTTCAGTGAAATTCTCCCTGCCCAATCTCACCCCAGGAAGGGTCTCAAGGGGATGATGATGTCAAAGATGAAAATTGTAAAAGCTACATTTTCTTTGAGCATCTGTGTGTTTTCAAAAGCAGTGTCTCTTATTCCTGCATTTGGAACCATAACACAGTTAACTGATTAACGAAGATGAAATGGAAGACTCAGAGAGCTGCAGAGGTCTCAATGTTCTGGTCAAAGGCTTTAATTTTACAGATTTCTCATTTCATCCTAACAGGCCTTGGAAGAAACTGAGGCATAGAGCAGTTAACAACTTGCTCAAGGTGAGAGTGGGAACAGTGGAGCCCTCTTACCTATGGCCCCACTCATATGGTAAGCTGCTTCCAGAAAAGCTCATTAGTCCCACTGTTGAGATGGACCCCCAGGCCCCCAAAGGATAGGGATATCTTTGAGGCCAATTTTGGCCCCACTGGTGTCTTCTCAGTCCCTAGTACACTGCTGAGCACACAGTAGGCCTTCATTAAAAACATCCAGATGCTGTTTATGAAACACTATTTGAAAATAGTGTTTCTGCCCTACCAGTACCACTCATGGTTTTGTCCTCTGGGGTTTTCCCAGCACCTGTTATGAGGAGGTTCATCTGAACCTCAAACATGCCTGGAAGGTCAGCAAGAAGGCTCTTGCTCTGGTTTTTGTTTAGCTCCACAAACATTTCCTGGGCACCACTCTGGATCAGATCCAAATGTGCCCCATTGGTGGGGAAAAGTCAGACCCATGGATCCATGGATAGACAGATTCAATATGGTGGAAGATCAGCTTGGCTTCTTTACACAGAGAAGGTCCTCTTGTCCACAAAGGGGGTTGGGAAGAGCTGATACCTGGTCTGAGGTTTCTAAAAATTTATTTTATTTTAAAAATCAAAAGTATAAATGTGTATGCTTTATAAAGTTGAACAGTACTTTAGTGGCTATAAGAAAACTAGTGACATTTTGCTCCACCTGATCTCCATTCCCATTTTCCTCTCAGAGTCCACTTTCAACCAGTTCACTAATTTCTTCTCCTGTTTACTGGTGTGTCACGAAATGACATGCTCGTACCATTATTTCTTGATTACTGGGAAGCTAAGAGTTTAGGTGCTAATATCCTCTTGCCTCATACCCACTTCTCACCCTCCCAAAGCAGGGGTGGGAATTTGATTCCTATTTGGTGAATGACTTAATTACTCCTTATTCACCTTGAACCGTGTACATTTCTATGCTTCCATTTCTGGACAAGTTTTCATATTCCCTGGAATCAAGAGTCCCTTTTTATAATTTTAGAGTTTACTATTTCCCGTCATTTTGTTTTATTTTATTTTATTTTATTTTATTTTATTTTATTTTATTTTATACCAGAAGCTAATTCCTCTCTCCATGTGATCAAGCCCTCCTGAGACTCTCTCCTTGCTTTGGCCTAGTCTCTTTGTCCCTGTAGCTTATGTAGGGCTGTTATCCTGGCATTCTGGTCACCTCTCTGCTGCACTGAATTACCTGTTTGCAAATACAGAGGTATTGTCTTTCTCGGTTTCCTCCGTCATTTTGGCAGAGGCCATCTCCTTGTAGCTTTCAGAAGAATGATGCAGAGGAGTAAATTTTTTTTAAGAATGTGCATGTCCAAAGACATCTCTGTTCTACCCTCATATTTGTTGGATGGTTAGTCAGCATAGAATTCTAGGTGGGCTAGAATTTTCCCTGTGAACTGGATGACATAGAGACTTTCTCTAGTATCGCTATTGAGAAGATTAGTGCCCTTTTGTTTTCTGATTCCTTGTATGTGATCTGTGTTTTGCTTTCCTCACTCTTTCTATAAGCATTTGGGATCTTCTTGTTGTCCCTGGTGTTCTGAAAATTCATGATGGTGTACTTCGTGGACCTGCTGTCATCTGTTATTCTAGGCAGAGCTGTCCAACAGTCCTATCTGCACTGATGCAAATGTTCTCTGTGTTGTCCAGTGTGGTTGCCTCCAGTTACCTGAGGCTATTGTACACTTGAAATGTGGCCCTTGTGGCTGAGGTACTGCATTTCTGATTTTATCTGTTTATTACCAGTAACTGTAACTCACTACATGTGTCCAGGGGCTGTGTATGGACAGCGCTGTGTATTGGGCCTTTCACTCTGGAGACTGTTGCTTTTCAGTCCTGTGAAATTTTCTTGGATTATTTCTTTCATTTGTTCTCTTCTTTATTTAGAAACTGCTGTTGGTCAGAGGATGGAATTCCTGGAATTATCCTTTAGTTTTCTTATTTTTTCCTTCTCATTTTTGGAGTGAATTACTTACATAAATTTATTTATGTAAGTTAAAATGTCTTCATTTAAAATTTTAATATTTTACCCCTTATTGATTTCTTTGCATTAATACTGATTTTTAACATAATATGTTCAAATAACATTTGTAGTTTATGTAATTACTGTGATTTTATTTTTTTTTAAGATGTTATTTATTTATTTGACATGGAGAGAGAGATCACAAGTGGGCAGAGCAGCAGGTGGGGCGGGGGAGGGAGGCGGAGCAGGCTACCTGCTGAGCTGAGAGCCCGATGCGGGACTTGATCCCAGGACCCTGGGATCATGACCTGAGCCGAAGGCAGAGGCTTAACCCACTGAGCCACCAAGGCACCCCAGTTACTGATTTTTAAAAAGTTTTTATATAAACTCCAGTTAACATATAGTGTAATCTTGGTTTTGGCTGTGCAATATAGTGATTCAACACTTCTATACAAAAACTGGGGCTCATCACATGTGTACTCCTTATATCACCTTTTTAACCTGTCCCACTCACCCCCATATCCTCTGGTAACCATCAGTTTGTTCTCTTTAGTAAAGTGTCTCCTTATTGGTTTAACTCCCTCTTTTTTCCCCCTTTCTTTTTTTTTTTTATTTCTTAAATTCAACATGTGAATGATATCATATGACATTTGTCTTTCTCTGACTGACTTATTTCAGTTAGCATTATACCCTTTTTCTCCCATGCCATAAGTTGCCTTTTGGTTCTGTTGTTTGTTTCTTTTGCTTGTAAAACCTTTTTATTTTGAGAAAGTCCCAATAGTTTATTTTTGGTTTTGTTTCCCTTGCCTCAGGAGACATATATAGAAAGAAGTCGCTACCACTGATGTCAAAGAGGTTACTACCTATGTTCTCCAGTAGGATTTTTATGGTTTCAGGTCTCACATTTAGGTCTTTAAACCGTTTTGAATTTATTTTTGTATATGGTATAAGAAAGTGGTCCAGTTTCATACTTTTGCATGTTGCTGTTCCATTTAACCAGCAGCATTTGTGGAAGAGACTGTCTTTTTCCTATTCAATATTCTTTCCTACTTTGTTGAAGATTCATTGACCATAGAGTTAATGAGTTCCTTTCCAGGTTTTGTAATCTCTTCCATTCATCTATGTGTCTGTTTTGTGCCAGTACCATACTGTTTTGATAACGACAGCTTTCTAATATGTTTTGATATCTGGAATTGTGATATGCCTCCAGCTTTGCTTTTCTTTTTCAAGGTTGCTTTGGCTGTTCAGGTTCTTTTGGGATTTTAGGATTATCTATTCCACCTCTGTGAAAAATGCTGTTGGTGTTTTGATAGGGTTTGCAGTAAATGTATAGGTTGCTTTGGGCAGTAGGGACATTTTTAACAATATTCGTTCTTCCAGTCCATGAGCATGGAAGGTCTTTCCATCACTTTGTGTCCTCTTCAATGTCTTTCATCTCTGTTTTATAATTTTCAAAGTACAAGTCTTTCACCTCTTTGATTAGATGTGTTCTTAGAAATCTTATAATTTGGGGTGTGATTATAAATGGGATTGATTTCTTAATTTCTCTCTCTGCTGCTTCATTGTTGGTATGTAGAACTGCATCAGATTTCTGGATGTTGATTTTGTGTCCTATGACTTTGCTGAATTCAATGATCAGTTCTAGCCATTCTTTGGTGGAGTCTTTTGGATTTTCTGTATAGAGTTTCATATCTTCTGAAAGAGTGAGAGTTTGATTTCTTCCTTGCTGAGCTGGATGCCTTTTATTTCATTGTGTTGTCTGATTTCTGTGGCTAGGACTTCCAGTACTATGTTAAATAACCTTGGTGGGAGTGGACATCCCTGTCTTATTCCTGACTGCAGAGGTAAAGTGCTCAGTGCTCAGTCTTTTCCCATGGACGATAGTAGTTGTGGCCTTTATTATGTTGAGATATGTTCCCTCTAAACCAACTTGTTGAGGGTGTTTATCACGAATGGATGTTATACATTTTTTAAAGATTTTATTTATTTATTTGTCAGAGAGAGAGCACAAGCAGGGGAAGCAGCAGGCAGAGAGGAAGCATGATCCCAGGGTCCTGGGATTGAGTACCGCATTGGGCTCCCTGCCCAGTGGGAAGCCTGCTTCTCCCTCTCCCACTTCCCCAGCTTGTGTTCCCCCTCTCTCTGTGTCTCTCTGTCAAATAAATAAATAAAATCTTTAAAAATTTTTAAATTCAATTAATTAACATATAGCATATTGTTAGTTACAGAGGTAGAGTTTAGTGATTCATCAGTTGTATATAACACCCAGTGTTCATTACATCAAATGCCCTCCTTAATGCCCATCACCCGCCTATGCCATTCTCCCACCAACCTCCCCTCCAGAAACCCTCATTTGTTTCCTATAGTTAAGAGTCTCTTATGGTTTATCTCCCTCTCTGATTTTGTCTTACTTTATTTTTCCCTCTTTTCCCCTACGATCCTCTGTTTTGTTTCTTAAATTCCACATATGAGTGAAATCATATAATTGTCTTTCTCTGGTTGACTTACTCCGCTTGGCATAATACCCTCTTGTTCCATCTATGTCATTGCAAATGGTGAGATTCCATTTTCCGATGGCTGAGTAATATCCCATTGTATATATATACCACATCTTCTTTATCCATTCATCTGTTGATGGACATCAGGAATAGGATGGAGGTTCCTCAAAAAGTAGAGCTACCCTACTACTCAGCAATGGCACTACTAGGTATTTACCCAAAGAATACAAACATAGTGATCCAAAGAGACACCTGTGCCCCAAAGTTTATAGCAGCAATGTCCACAATAGCCACATATGGAAAGAGCCCAGATGTTCATAATATTCTCTTATAATTGCTTGTGTTGCTGTGGTATTGGTTATTTCCTCTCTCTCATTTGTGATTTTATTTATTTGGGTCCTTTCTCTTTTCTTTTTGATATATCTATCTGTCTAGAGGTTTATCAATATTATTATTTTTTTCAAAGAACCAGCTCCTGGTTTCACTGATCTGTGCAATTGGCTTTTATATATTCTATATCACTTATTCCTGCTTTAATCTTTATTGTTTCCTTCTTTCTGCTGGCTTGAAGCTTCATTTTTTGTTCTTTTTCTAGCTCCTTTCAGTATGAGTTTAGGTTGTTTATTTGAGATTTTTCTTGATTCTTGAACTAGGTCTGTATGTCTATATACTTCCCTCTTAGGACTGCTATTGCTGCATCCCCAATTACTGAGATTTTTGGCAATTTCGTGGTCAAGTGGAACTTCTCACTCTTCTCTTGTCCCAGCCCTATCTAGAAGTCTCAGCATAATCTCTTCCAGTCCTGTCCATGTTGCTACAAAAGTTGGGTATTCAACTGAATTCTATAGAGTCACTGTGTTGATAAGGAGAGAATGAACCATCCTTACTCCTGTATTTTGTTTTTTTTAGGGTATAACATTTCTTGGCCTACAAGGCACTTTACTTATTAAATTTTCAGAGACAAATTCTGCACACTAGGAGAAGCTGAACAAGAGATGTAGCAACCTAGTGGGGCTTTAGATCCTACAGGGGTAGGGAAAAGTGAGGTGTGGTTTCCTACTGCCCACCCTGTGTTTACACAGCTGGACAGACACTGCAGGCTCCAGTTAGAATCCAGGAAATGAAGTCTCTAAACATTTATGAGCTCAAGGACTCCTCACAGACCAGGAGGTAAAAAGAGCCAGTTAAATACACTCAAGAAGAAGGAAAAAGTAAACAATCCATACGCAGCAAACTCCCAGTCTTTTAATTGTTTCTTTCTTTTTCAAATTCTTATTTAAATTCCAGTTAGTTAATATACACTATAATATTAGTTGCAGGAGGAGAATTTAGTGATTCATCACTTACATGTAACCCCCAGTGCTCATCACAAGTACCCTCCCTTAATACCCATCACCCATTCATTTAACCCATCCCTGCCCACCTTCCCTCCAGCAACTGTCAATTTGTTCTCTGTAGTTAAGAGTCTAGTTTGTGGTTTGCCTCTGTCTTCCCCACCATGTTCATCTATTTTGTTTCTTAAATTCCACATATGAGTGAAATCATATTGGTATTTGTCTTTCTCTCATTGACTTATTTCAGTTAGCATAATAACTTCTTTATAGATTTTGGATACTAACCCTTTATCAGATATGTGATTTGCAAATATCTTCTCCCATTCTGAAGGGTACCTTCATCAAAATGGATGAAAGACCTAAATATGAGACAGGAAATCATCAAAATCCTAGATGAGAACACAGGCAGCAACCTCTTTGACATAGGCCATAGCAACTTCTTACTAGACGTGTCTCTGGAAGCAAGGGAAACAAAAAACAAAAATGAACTATTGGGATTTCATCAAGATGAAAACCTTCTGCACATCAAAGCAAACAGTCAAAAAAACTAAAAGAAGAACTTCAGAATTATGTCTCTTTGTTTTTTAAAGATCTTATTTATTTATTTATTTATTTGACAAAGAGAGAGATCACAAGTAGGCAGAGAGGCAGGCAGAGAGAGGGGGAAGCAGGCTCCCTTCTGAGCAAAGAGCCTGATCCGGGGCTGGATCCCAGGACCCTGAGATCATGACCTGAGCTGAAGGTAGAGGCCTAACCCACTAAGCCACCCAGGCTCCCCAGAGTTATGTCTCAGTTAATCTTGAACTCACGTCTCCTCCTCCTGCTAAAGAAAATACATTGCATAATTTGGGGTTACTCTTTAACTCTTATCCTCTCTTAGACACAAATTGAACTGTTTACATATTGAGTGAACATTTCTACAGGGCCTGCCAAGGGTCAGATATCTGGGTGAGCAAAGTCACCAGATATACCAATACCATTATTTTATAGCAGGTATTTTGATTTATAGCTCAGTATTTCAGTGGTTGTTAAGTGTCTCTCCCCTTTAGAGTGTTGGGTTCATAAAGGAAGGATTTTTACTAATTTACATATATGTATTTTTTTAAGATTTTATTTATTTATTTATTTGACAGACAGAGATCACAAGTAGGCAGAGAAGCAGGCAGAGAGAAAGAGGTGGGGAAAGCAGGCTCCCTGCTGAGCGGGGAACCCGATGCGGGGCTCGATCCCAGGACCCTGGAACCAAGACCTGAGCCGAAGGCAGAGGCTTTAACCCACTGAGCCACCCAGGCGCCCTTATTTTATATTTAATGCTTGATGCACAGACTGAAAACAGCAGGTGTAGAGCCCAACCAACATCTAATGACAATGGGAGAAGCGCCCACCTCCTCCAATGCCAAGAATGTCCATAGACCATTCACTTCCTTTACCACTCCCACACCAACCATAGCGTCCACCCACCAAAACGTAGATACCACCTAGAAATTGGCAACATCAACTGTGGTCTTACTGAGAAGAATGGGGACCTGAGACAGGAAAAACAGACACTTAACTTTTCTTTCATTTTTGCACACTCGAGATAGTGACCTGTGAAATTTGGATGTAATGCACAAATCATTCCAGAGAAATACTGGTTCTCTTACTGTGAGCAGTTCTCTTGGCCAGTAGAAATCAGGCACAACTTCTGAAAGAGATGTCACATTCCTGATGGAAAGAGATGGGAATATTAGCCAGAGTTCCTATATCATCGGTTTCTCCCAACCTGTCCACCTACACTGATACCTGAGCCTGAGGCTTCCCTGAATGGTATCTGAGATTCTGTTTTGGCCAATATCTAGGGAGACTGAGAAAACAGATAAATCCTTCACTGTTGAGGAGGATGGACGCATAGGTACTTTCACTTGGCTCTACAATAATTATCTGTTGGTTTCTCTATCTTCAACCTGAATGATGTCTGTATTTTAGATAAGTTTTTACCCCATGAATTTAGAGCAGAGTTTGGAGACTTCATGATGAGCGTAGTACAGGAAGGAGTAGATGAGAGCCACGGGATGTGTGGGGTATTCTTGTGACACACATGTCTTCCTTCACACCTTCTGTACAACTCTGAGGATGTGAGTCTCTTCATGTCAGGTGTTCCCGTCTGGGGAAGGATGGGGCACAAAGCTCACACTTCTATAGGGTCCTTTTGCAGACAGGTCATGTGCATTGGTTCAGTGCTGGCTGCATTTTGGTCCTCAGGAGCAACTAGCCTGTCTCTAGATTGCAACCAGCTGGAGCAGGCCCTCAGGTGACTAGAGTTACAGATGATCATATTAGGCTTACTTATGAAATCATCATAGATAGCTTTGCCTTTTGGAGAAGGATGAAAGCATGTGAGTTGCCACAGAGACTTAATTCCCAGTAAAATAAGAAAAGCTTTGTGTTTAGGTGACAGAATTGTCAAGAACTATCATGAGACTGCCTGGGTGGCTCAGTGGGTTGAGCAACTGACTTTTGGTCTTGGCTCAGGTCTAGCCACACACTGGGCTCAAAAAAAAAAAAAATTATCAGATGACACACATCTTTCCTTGTTTGCACATATTCTCTGTAGCTCTCTTCTGGGGAACATAGGGAGGGAGATCCCACGCAACAATACCCTTAGTATCATCTTGATTAACATATGTCTTCCCTGCTAAGATGAGGTGGACCTTTGATGTGGAAGACCCATGATAAGGCTGCTGTGCAGGTTGCCATGCAGATAGGAACAGAATTTTAACCAGTGTGCTGTATAACCTGGGTCTCACTATTTCCCATAACGACCCTTCTCAGGGAAGGGCAAACATTGAATATCAGTATTGCAGAGTGCAGAAGACTTTTCAATCTCACTTTCTGTTTGCTTATTCACAACATGTTCTTGTTGTGATCAATGGCAGTTGGAAAGCCCAATGCAGTCACTGAGTCTCAGTCTCCACTTCTGTAAACAGGGATAATAGCACGACCCTATTGAACGGTGCCCTGGGAAATATTTCAGAATTCCTTGGACTCTCTCTCCTCCTTTACCTGGGGATCATCTTCCAGCTTCTTAATGTCTTTCCACTGGTGGTATGCAAGTATAGAGCTACTTCTCTCTTAATACCTCCATTGTCCCAGAGATTCCAGAGGTATGCTGCATAAACCTCAGATTCTCAGGCCATGCAGACACAGATCATGGGTCTGTGTGATGATATTGAACAGGCGTAATTTCCAGATCCTCTGTCCCTGGATCTTTCCCAGCAGGTATGTGGCATGGTCCAAAAAGTTCCATGGAAAGGACACACAAGGGGTGCCTGGGTGGCTCAGTGGGTTAAAGCCTCTGCCTTAGGCTCAGGTCATGATCTCAGAGTCCTGGGATGGAGCCCCACATCAGGCTCTCTGCTCAGCAGGGAGCCTGCTTCCTCCTCTCTCTCTGCCTTCCTCTCTGCCTACTTATAATCTCTGTCTGTCAAATAAATAAATAGTGTTAAAAAAAAAAAAAAGAACACACAAGAAGCCCAACAATTTCACTTCAAAAACTCAAATCCAGTAACCTTTCTGGGTGCCCACTGAGTATACAGAGCATTGCTAGGGACTAGGGACATAATGTGGACAGTACTCAGACTCACCCTTGAGAAGCTCTCTATCTAAGGCCAATAGGTGTGGAGACCAATAATGGGGCTAGAGGGTGGAGAGAACTGAATAACAGAACTGGGGCTGGGGCAGGGCAGGGCAGGGGTGGGGGGAGGAGGGGCAGAAATTTCCCAGGGGAGGAAGTGGTTGGTTTATGTGTTAAAGGAGGCATGTGAGGAAAGACCCTAACACAGGGGATCCTCTCAGAGCTGGGTTTGAAGGATAAGTAGTTCCTTGGAAGGGCCACGGTGGCATTTCCAGGCAGAGGAGCCTTCATGGGTAAAGACATGCAGAACAGCTTGTTTGAATGATTTCGTGTATTTAAAGGTCGAGGCAGCCATGTGACAAGGGCAAGTTAGAGATTTAAGGACAGTGACTACCTGAGTTTCTGTAACCTTTGAAATTACCAATAACACTGACTGAGTTGTTTACTGATTTTGGACAGAATATGAACTCAAAGGTCAATCTGGGAGTGTCCACAATGCTTTGCCAACACTCATGGCTGCGGCGGGGGGACTAAGGGGGCAGTGTGCTAGTGACTGCAGTCCAGCCCCACCCCCTTTTCAGTATATATACTCCAACCTCACTGAATCACCGCTGGTGGGAAAGGAAGCTCCGCACCCACAGGCCGGCAAGGACTAGCACACACTGCTGAACGGAAGCAGAGAGAATTCACAGAGGAAAAATGGCCATGGACCTGATCCCAAGGTTTTCCATGGAAACCTGGCTTCTCCTGGCTACCAGCCTGGTCCTCCTCTATCTGTGAGTAACTGTCCAGGCTCATCGCCTCCAGAACCTTTGAGTTGGGTTGCTAATCAGCATCCACCCCCTTTTCCTTGTCTGTTTGGAGGATCAAGAGTTAACAAAGGGGAAGTTGCATAAGTGTTGGGTGCTTCAGAAATGCTAGGAACACACAGGGGTTATTATTGACCTCCCCCAAACCGGCTGAAGGAGTAGCTCCGTCCTCCAATCGCTTTTCTGTAGCTAGCAGGATTGAGTGACATTATTTGCTCCTAGGGATGATCTCATTGGCCACCAGTGCGGACCTAGACCAATCCAGCAGAATTCAGCAGACGCAGACTAAAATCGACAGGCCCCAGTGCTCTGAGGTCCTCACCAGCTTCCCAAGCTGTGGAGATTCTGGAGGCAGACCAGTGACTTGGGTCTTTGTCTCACTATCTTCACCTTCTGATCTGTGTCTGCTGCAGGAGACATGTAGAAAGACTGGGCCTGTGTCACTCGGGTGGTCCTGATTCCCTCCCTCCATCACCAGGCCCCATGTACTCAAGGCACCTGTGCACCCAGACTTCCAAGGGGACTGGAGATGCCTCACCTCCCTCTTCTGTCTGGGTTCTTCCCTCTTTTCTGGGTCACTCTCCTAGCCATCCCCCTACCCTATAATATGCAGAACTCCTTACCCCTAAGTGAGCATCTTTAGAGCTGAGGAGACTTGGCAGAAATCTTCAAATTGTATTCATTTCACCTTTTCCTTCCAGTCTCTGGGAAGGTTAGCACCCGTGTAGAAATTTCTTCCCCCTATCCCCCAATATGAAGTCTGCTAGCAGCCTGCAAAGGCAGGCCCTGAAAGCCAGTGTGGATTTTAGGTATTATTTTTCCCTTTATGTTATATTACAGGAGGAGGAATTAAAACATCTAGCAGAGGAATTCCTTTCAGTGGTGGGATTCCTGGCATCATGGAGCAGGGTGGGAAAGGACATAGTTTCACAGTATGGGTAAGGACAGACCCCCCATCACATTTGACCTCTGTCTCAATTGCACTTTCTTAAGAGTAGGAAGTCATGAGGAAATGAACATAGAGTATGGAAGCCTCATTTTCATTTTTTTTCCCATATCTGGCATTGCCCCAATCTAACGTTGTTTATTTGGATTTAACAATACCCATTTTAAGATTTAACACCCACCACAACTTTCTCTCCCCTTTATCTTCTCCTATTATATTAATTAAGAGGCTTTAAAAAAAAACACTGATTTATTCTCTTACAGTTCAGGAGGTCAGAAGTCGGAATGCCAGGTATTGTGGCAACATATTTTTGTGTGTGATGACATTTAAGATTAATTGATGTGGTTTAATTTCATTGTATTTAATAATAGATTTTTTGCTGAGATAAGACTATTTCCAGCATGTTCTTCCAAAGGATAAAAGAGGGCTGGTGGTTCAGCCTTTCTGACAATAAAAGTACCTTCTAGAATAATGTTGAGAATATGAATTTAGTGGACCCATACATACTTCTATGATATAAGCTGTGTATATTTTTAAATACATGTGCCCAGCAAGTTATTTTAATCTCTCTGCACAGGTGAGTAATGAGACTGTGAGCCAGTACTGATGTGAGAAGCATCCAGGTGGTACTCAGTATGGAGTGGGAGAATATTCTCCCTCAGAGCAGACCTCTGAGAGATACTCCTTGATCCTGGTCCTACAGAAGGTCATCACGGGACCACAGGGTTAGCATCTCAACTCTTTGAAGCCAGGGGACAGGACCACCATGTAAGCTACACTGTGTTGTCTGTATGGCAGTGGGGCGGTCACGGGATCCCGTCACCACCAGGCAATCAAAGCTGCGTGCAGACTTAGAATTCTGACACTGGTGTAGCCAGGAGTCAGTAGCTGTAGACAGCGCCCTCTGCAGGCAATGCTATGTAATGGCAATAAAAAGGAGGGGCTTCATTGTTAGCCCCTTCATTTGTGCCAGCAGCAGCATGACTCTACCAAGAAGAAGAAAACTGGAAAGAATCAGAAAAATTCACCCAGCCCACCCTCTGCCTTCTTATGGAGCCATGTGAGTTTAGACTCTAAACCAGATCTTTCCTTGGGACCAGTGTTGCTGACACATTCGCTCATTTGCTTGGCCTCACTTGGGAGTTCATGGAGCACATTGAATGTTCAGAAGCAGAAATCCATGTGTTGGGTCTTGATGGCAAGAAGGAATGGAAGTAGGACTAACCAATGTCACCCTCCTCCTGGCATTTGGGGCTCATGCATCTGTGAACTGCTCTGGAGGAAGTACTAAACATCCAGCTGAGCCAAACTGTGGTCCCTCTCTGCTGGTCCTTCAAGCACATGTCCTTTTAGGCAATTTTGTGGGTGTATTTGGTTACACAATATAAGGTTTGCTGTATTTCTACAGAATATTTGGAACTGTACTATCTTAAAGGCTACACTCCAGAGATGAAGAGACAAGGTCTTCATTCCATTCTATGGAACATTTTATCATTACTCATTTTATGTTTTGTAACACATCATCTGCCATCAATTGGAGGTATCTGAACTTTGGAAGGTCCCCTATCTGTTAGCTAAAAGCACCTACAGGGCTTGTTGAACCATTTCTACCTAGCATTCTTTCCTACCATACTTTCCTAATTTGCCACTATGGGATTAGCCATTTAGGCCTGGCAAGTTCATGGTTGAAATTGTTTTTGGCAGCCTTTTCCCTCAGCCTCTCCTCTTCCTCCACTCTGCCATCTCTCACCAACACCTAAGAAGGCTTGCAAAGATCCAGAACACCAAGTTATGAAATTCCTCATCAGTCTAATGAAAGATGAATTATAAGCCATTGTGTCATAAGGGGCACCATCCGTAATGGGTTTCTGAGATAGGTGATGCACAGAGTCAATAAACTGACAGCTTTGTGAGTGGCCATCTTGAAAGAAGCTAGTGTGTCTGGCAGTGTGCTGAACACATGAGTATTATAGGTTGGAAGACCAGACGTCCCACAGGGAAGAATGGTCCAAAAATGGATTATTTAGTCACTGATTCCTTAATACTGTATCATTAAGGGGACATATGGGTCAGTCCCCCTTCTCTGCAGCTCAAGAGAACCAGAGTGTCTGAAAACAGATGGACAGAGCTGAAAGCATCTCACTTTTTTATGAGCCAGTGGAGCCTTGGACACGGTTTTCATTGTATAAAATGAGAATACTGCGGCTGCTCAGAGTCTCTCTATGATGATAGATTTAAGAAGGACCAGATCCCAAAGAGCGACAGGGCCTACAAGGAAGGAAAACCTCTGAGGAAACTATAAGAACATTTTCATGGTAGGCTTTCAGTAACCCTTGGCTCTTGAGTGGATACAATTAAGCAAAATCTCATCATTGGAGGAGAGAAACACTTTTTCCCCTTTCCACCTAGAATGAGAATCTCCAAAATCATGGAAGAGTCATTTACTAAATAGGCGTGAGTGAATTTTCTGAAAGAAATTGGTATGAAACTTTCAGGAGCTCTCAAGGGTGGACACATTGCTCAAGCATTCATTCTAGGATTGAGACCATGTGGTATTTTGCTGCTCTTAGCTAATCATCCTTACTTTTTGTGGGTCTCACTGTGCAGGTGGGAAAAGAGATGATGAGTGAATTAATTATTGCCATTGGAATTGCTGATATTATTTGTTGCCTACATGTTACCTCCCTCCCTCACCTGTTCCACTTCTGCATCATTGACTGGCCAGACCCAGCACCTATTATATCATTCCTGTGACCTGGCCTTCTCTTTCACTTTATAGATATGGGACCTCCACACATGGACTTTTTAAGAAGCTGGGAATTCCTGGGCCAAAACCTCTGCCTTTTGTGGGAAATATTCTGGACTACTGTGAGGTGCGTGTTGTTTGAGCTCCCTCTTTGCATCTTGTATTTGCGAATCTTAGCTTAATTCCACAGTGAATACTCTCCTCCTTGGGAGGAAGTGCTTAGGTTTCAGACTTTGGAGAAATGGTGTCTTAGGCCCTACCCAGCACATGACCAGGTCTACCCCAGGGTTCTGTTATCTGCTGCTTGGAGCCTCAGGGCTTCCTTCAGTAGGCTGCCTAGCTCTCTGACCCATTCAGCACAGGACTTGATGTTCTGTCTTGTGAGCATCATGAAGAGGCTGTTTCTGGCAGGTACAGATTCCCAGGAAGGCATTATTATATTTGGAATTAGGAGAAGAGCATCAAGGGGGTCCACACTACTGGTCCATTAAGCTGTGTACCCTAGAGTCAGACTTTTAAGTTTATAGCATGATCTCTGGATAGCCTTTTCATTTTCCTGGCTAGCTCTGGAATGTCAGGTTATTGGGAAGCTCAGGATTCATTTTTGGGGAATCTGCACATACTTGAATTCGCTCAAGAACTGCCAATCCCTGCAGTTATTTCCATGGCTCTAATTCTCCCTTTGTCACCCATGACATCTTTTGGGATTTGTGAGCTTGAACCAGAGCTGTCTGCTTTATTTCTCTATCTTCAAAGGAGGCACCTTCTGGGTGAGTTGAGCTGGGAGAGAGTATAACTGAGAGTAAATGGTGCTTGTCCATTGACTGCAGATTGTAACTTTTGAACAAGTTTGCATGTGGACTGTTCTGCACACAATGGTAGAACCACTCATATAAAATCATTAGAAAGGAGACACTTTGCGAAAATTATTAAGAAATTAAGGTAACTCAATGGAATGTGCTATCTGACACACACACTGAATGCTAGTGGAGCCATTGTGGCTAATCTAGGTCTGAATGCCTCACGTGAGGGTGGGCCTCTGGACAGAAGTTTAGGAGCTCATGTCCAAGGCCAACAGGTAGTCTCACGTGCAGTCTGCTGTCTGCTATAGAGTTCCTGTCCCACAGACCTGAGGCTTGTTTCTCAAATCCCACTCCTCCCCTCTGAGGCTCACAATGTCCAAAACTGCCTAAGAACTCCTGGACTTTTCCCTTCCAAAACAGTAATTTCCTTTCCACTTTTCCCAGATCAACTACTTAGTAGATACACCTAAGACCCACATATCTGAGACCTTACTTTGTGTAGTTAAAACATTGAATATCACAACAAAACTTAGCAAGAGGGAGTGTTGTTTTTCTTTTCAGTGACAAAAGTGAAAACACAGAGCAAGTGTTTTATTTTTTAATTAATTTTTAAAATTTCTATTATTTTATTATTATGTTCAGTTAGTCATCATATAGTTGACATCATTAGTTTTTGATGTAGTGTTCAACAATTCCTTAGTTGCATATAACACCCAGTGCTCATCATGACACGTGCCCTCCTCAATACCCATCACCTGGTTACCATCCTCCCACCCACCTCCCTTCTGTAACCTTCAGTTTGTTTCCCCCAGTCCAGAGTCTCTCATGGTTTGTCTCCTTCTCTGATTTCTTCACATTCAATTTTCCCTCCCTTCCCCTGTGGTCGTCCACCCTATTCCTTAAGTTCCGCATATGAGTGAAACCATATGATAATCGTCTTTCTCTCCTTGACTTATTTCACTTAGCATAATCCCCTCCAGTTCCAAGCATGCCAGTGCAGATGGTAGGTATTCATCCTTTCTGATGGCTGAGTAATATTCCATTGTATATATGAACCACATCTTCTTCATCCATTAATCTGTTGATAGACATCTTGGCTCCTTCCACAGTTTCACTACTGTGGACACAAGCAAGTGTTTTAACTTAATCTGTCCTTCATGAAGTAGTGGGACCATCCCCTCTTCCCCGTGTTGAGGTAGATGACTGGAAGATGAGTCCACCTTTCATTCATTCATTCATCACTCACTTTCTCACTCAGCAAATATGTCTCAGACTTCTGTAAATCTGCTAGACTGAAAGAGTTCTCTGGTGTCTTAATTTTCTAAATCCCTTGAAATTCTAGTAGGGCTCCTGAGATCAGTGAACAGAGTGGTAACTGGGGGTTCAGAGGATGCAGGCCACTTTCCCTCAGCTCGTTTTCCCACATGGCCCTGGAGGTGATAATTCAGAGGGTTCTGAGTTTTAGAGAAAACTCATGCACAAGCCAAAAATGTCAGAAAGATAGGGGTTACACAGTCCTCACAGGCAGGGTAAGATGTTCAGTATTTACAATACTTAAGATTTAAGCGGGACTTGAAATTCTCTGTTTCAATATCTCCTCTACTTTCTCTCCTTTCTGGTAAGATGCCTGTGAGCAAGAACTTCTCTCTAACTGCCAGTGAGATGTAGTAAGCCTTACATTTCATGAGAGCTGAGTTATTTTTGTCCCAATTAGAGGTAGGGCTCAGTACATTTAGATTAGTGGTATGTTTTGTTTCTTCTTGCAGGGCTTTTGGAATGTTGACAAGAAATGTTTTAAGAAATATGGAAGATTCTGGGGGTAAGTATTCTGGAAACTTCCATCAGATAGGCTTGTTATGATGAGGCTCCCAGCCACATAGACAGTCTCAGTTGAAAGCCTCTTGGGATGAAGCCTGCTGTAGTAAAGCTTCTGGAGTCTTTCCTTCCTGGGATCCCATGTATCACCAGAGTACAGATCTAAATGTGATCGGACCTGGGGAGCAGCAGGACATCACTGATCTCTGGACATTGCTGCCCAGGGACTCCTAACATCACTCTCTACTCTGTCTTGTGATTACCCTCTTCCCCATTTTCCCTCCTTATGTTCCCCTTAATCACAAAAATGCATTATTTCAAACCTTTCTAATATGTGCCCATCAGTGCCTCTCAGTACCTCTTTCCCACATGATTCACTTTTCATTAAGAGCCAAAGGTCCCATACCTAAATTTTGTATTAAATATGTCCTTTTGAAAGGTGGCTGTGGGGGTGTCGGTGGACAGAATGGGAAGCCATTTCTTTTTTTATTTTCTTTTTTAAGATTTTATTTATTTATTTGACAGAGAGAGAGATCACAGGTAGGCAAAGCAGCGGATATAGAGATAGCAGAGACAGAGGGAGAAGTAGGCTCCCTACCCAATGTGGGGCTCGATCCCAGGACCCTGAGATCATGACCTGAGCCGAAGGCAGAGGCTTAACCCACTGAGCCACCCAGGCGCCCCAATGGGAAGCCATTTCTACTCAGTTTTTTCTTTTTCTGCAACTGTGGAGTTTGTTTGTTTTGGTTTTTTTTTTTTTTAATGGGGCCAAGTCTTTTCTTTCAGTGCAGATATATATATGTTTCTCTTGATTTTACAGACTTGAAGAGATGTAGAATATTTCTAAACCGGTGTTCTTGGTGCACTGATGGACTTGTGATTAAATAGAGTGTTTGCTGCTTGCAGCAGCTGCTCCCTTCAGAGCGACTGGAAGTTTGGTGAAGTAGAGGGAGAGGTACACCGTGGTGCTGGGATGCTCACAGCCAGCATTGTACCTTCTCGCACCTCTTTATCTTCTCTCATCAAGTCCTCAGACACGATGGGTCCTGCTGAGTTGGTGTGTCCCATAAGCCATGGTAGACTAGAAAGAATACAGATCACTGGGTCACTGCTAGTTGCATTCCCCTGCCACTTCCTATAGTCGATACTGGTCAGTTCTGGATGGTGTCAGTCTTACATCATTGGCCCCAGTTCTGTCCTTAGTACGTGGTTCTTGTGCTTAGCGATAGAAAAGAACCACATGGGAGACCTGGCTAAAAATGGATATTCTTGGGGTGCCTGGGTGGCTCAGTGGGTTAAAGCCTCTGCCTTCAGCTCAGATCATGATCCCAGGGTCCTGGGATCAAGCCCCGCATCGGGCTCTCTTCTGAGCAGGGAGCCTGCTTCCCCCCCCCCCCCGCTCTGCCTGACTCTCTGCCTACTTGTGATGTCTGTCAAATAAATAAATAAAATCTTAAAACCCTTTTTAATAAATAAATAAATAAATAAATAAAATAAAAATAAAAATGGATATTCTTGGTTTCCATCCCTCAGCAACACCAAATCTAGAGGATGTGGGGTGGGACCCAAAAAGCTGAATGTAACTGGCAGTGGAAGCAATATTAGGGCTTGGTGAGACCATGAAGGTAAAGGGTTACACCAAACCACTGTCCCTTGTCCATCCAGGTGTTTTTGAACAAACAGGATGGGACGAGGGGAATCATTCAAGAAATATGACCAGGCTGATGGGAGGGTGAACTTAAGTGCCACTTCAGTAATTTCTATCACTGTTTCAATAGTAAATATAGTCGACTCCCACTTCAGCCTTCTGCATTTTACTTTTTAGACGTGGGTAACACTTAGTACAGTGGTTCTCAGCCATTTTTAGATGTGATCACAAAACCATTTGAAATTCCTCTGTGACATCCAAGAAAGAGTAGGGGACTTGTGGAAAATCTTCCATTTTGTTCTGGCAAATGATTTATAACGGAAAATAAAATGCCAGAGGGCGGTATAATTAAGATTAAAATAAACCTCAAGGGGCCAGTTGCCCCTTGCCTTTTACAGGCATACTGACAGTTAGGAGGTCAGGCTGGATAGGGATGGATCACATACAAAGAGTCAGCTTGGTGTGTGAGACATGTGTCAAAGGAGGCATGCCCTGCTGCTCCAGGATGTCACCTACATGGAGCCCAAGGAACTCACACTTGGGACCCACATACAAGAATAAACACAAGTAATAAAAAGAAAATACTTTGAAAATGAATTATACATGTTTCTCTTTATTTCTTCATTTTCTTTGTCCTTTCTTTTCAAATTTTTCTGACTTTGATCTTACCAAGGACATCTCTTTAGTGGTTAAAAAAAATATTTTCTTGGGGCACCTGGGGGGCTCAGTGGGTTAAAGCCTCTGCCTTCGGCTCAGGTCATGATCTCAGGGTCCTGGGATCGAGTCCCGAATCGGGCTCTTTGCTCGGCGGGGAGCCTGCTTCCCTCTCTCCGCCTACTTGTGATCTCTCTCTCTGCCTGCCTCTCTGCCTGCTTGTGATCTCTGTCTGTCAAATAAATAAATAAAATCTTTAAAAAACAGAAAATATTTTCTTTAATATGTTATAAACTGGGGCACCTGGGTGGGTCAGTCATTAGGCATCTGCTTTGGCTCAGATCATGATCCCAGGGTCCTAGGTTCAAGCCCCGCATTGGGCTTCCTGCTCCATGTGAAGCCCATTTCCCCCTCTCCCCCTCCTCCTGCTTGTGTTCCCTCTCTTGCTGTGTCTAATATATTAATTAAATCTTTAAAAAGAAAAGTTATAAACTAGGAAGGAAATTTTAGAAAATAGGGCAAAGAAATCATTCATAATCCTACCATCACTTTTTGAACATTCCAAGATGTCATTTGCAGATATATCTTTACATGTGTGTGATCAGTGTATCTACAGTTTTCATCTAATATTCTAACATATGTCTTCCATGTGTTTGATATTTCTTTAAAATTATAATTTTTCTTTTCTCGTGGGTAGACTCCCTTGTTATTTTTTTCTTCCTAGATAATTCACTCGCCTTCAGTTACTTACTAACCCAACTTTCTTTTTGATAATATAGATAAATTATTTGAAATGTTTGAAATACTTCTAAGATATTTGAAATATTCTAAACATGCAAAAAATTATGGAGAATGGCCCAGGAAATACCCATGTACACATCACCTAGAGTTAACAAATATTTTAATGTTATTTCTTTTTATTTAAAAGATTTTATTTATTTATTTGAGATAGAATGAGAGCAAGTGAGAGAGAGAGGGAGCACAAGGCGGGGGGCAGCAGAGGAAGAGGGAGAAGCAGACTTCCTGCTGAGCAGGGAGCCTGATGTGGGGCTCCATCCCAGAACCCTGGGATCATGACCTGAGCCAAAGGCAGACGCTTAACCAACTGAGCCACCCAGGCACCCCTCTAATGTTATTTCTAATCAGATGTCAGAGTTTGGATTATGTAATGTCAAGATAAGGCCTGGACTTCCAGGCATGGCTACAACTGCAGAAACCGCTATGTTAAGCGTAATCAGCTCTGTTTTCCCGACACAGGTTTTATGATGGACGACAGCCTGTGTTGGCTATCACAGATCTGGACATGATCAAAACAATACTAGTGAAAGAATGTTATTCTGTCTTCACAAACCGACGGGTAGGCATCAGTTCAGTTTTAATTTACAGATTGATTGATTACTTTATAAAGCTCTTATTTGGAAATAATTATAGATTCATAGGAAGTTGTCTCAAGAGATCCCATGTCCCGTGGCCTTCAGATTATTTCCCCTTAGGTAATAAAACTATAATTTGTATGGAAATGGAAATTGACATTAGTTCTAGCCACAGAGTTAGATTAAGATTTCAAGTTTTATGTGCACTCATTTGTGTGTGTGTGTGTGTGTGTGTGTGTGTGTGTGCGCGCGCGCGCGCGCATGCGCACATCTCTGAATATTTATCTTACATGTAGATTTGTGTATCCACCACCCCTGTCACGTTGGAGAGGTTTTCCATCACCAAAAATATCCCTCTTACTATTCTTTTATAGGCATGGTGTGTAACTTGTCTCTTCATTGTCCCAGATTCTTCAGCAAAGCAAACTTTTTTTTTTTTTTAAATTAGGCCAGTGTATCCTTTTTTCCTTTTATGGCTTGTGAGTTTGGCATCAAGTTTGAAAACTCTTTACCTAGCCCTAGGTCCCAAGACTTTCTCCAAATATTTAGTTTTATGTTTTATATTTAATATATTGTCTTATGTATTCTATGTTTTACATTTATAATGTAAATCTTATATAGTGTTATGTTTTACATGGAAGTCTGTGATACATTTTGTGTTATAATTTTTTAAGTTGTATTTGTATTTAAATATTCAATTAAGTATTCAGTTAATTAACAGATTGTTATTAATGGAGTGCTTTATTAGTTTGAGAGGTAGAGTTTAGTGATTCATCAGTGGCATGTAACATGCAGTGCTCATTACATCAGGTGCCCCCCTTAATGCTCATCACCCACTTACCCCATCCCCTCCCCCACCTCACCTCCAACAATCCTCAGTTTGTTTCCTATAGTTAAGAGTCCTGTTATTTGTGAGGTGTGAAGTTTAGGTCAAAGATCTTTGTTTTTGGCCAATGGACGTCTAATTGCTCTATCACCATTTGTGAGAAGACTATACTTCCTCCACTAAATTGCTTTTGTACCAGGATCAAAATTGAGTTGGGCCTATGGGCGTGTATCTGTTTCTCATTCTGTGTTTCTGTTCATTGATCTCTGTATCTCTCCCTCCGCCAATACCAGGCTCTCTTGATTACTGCAGCCCTATAGTAAGTCTCAGCATTGTGAACAGTGATCCTCCCATTTTTTTGTTTGTTTGTTTGAATCGTGTTAACTATTTTAGCTCCTTTGCCTTTCCATACAAATTTAGAATCAGCTTATCTTTGTTTATGAACAATTTGCTGAGATTTTGATAAGAATTGATTTAAACCCACAGATCAGTTTGGGGGAAATCTATGTCTTTACTAAGTCCTATCTTTCAAGGCATGAACACCGTATGCTCATTCATTTATTTAGGTTTTCTTTGATTCTTTTCACCAACATTTAGTTCTTCACGTAGAGACTTCACAAGTATTTTGTTAAATGAGCACCTAAAGTATTTCCACGTCTTTGGGTGATTATAATTGTTACTGTTTTTTTAATGTGTTTTGACATATTTGTTAGGGTCCGTAATCAAAGGAACAAGACTGATACAAAGCGAAGGTCAAGCAAAGCTTTATTTCGTGCCAAGCATCGAGAATCAAATCGACTGGTCGGGGCATCTCTTACAAAGAGGCGACCTCTCCCAGCCTCACAGACTAACTTTTATAGAGGTGGTTGAGCCTGGCTACACACAGGTGGCCAATGAGATTACAATACACAGAGAAAACTGCACAGTCATGCTAGGTCATACATGGGCGGCCAATTGAATTACAATTTACCCTAGTAGATATTTGAACTAGCCTATCACCTTGGTCAGAATTGGAAAAGGCGGAGCCCACTCTCCTTGGTAGCTAAGGAGACAATATGCCCCACTGATTGGATGTCTCCACCTGGCCTAACCCACTCTTGTATCTGGGCTTTGCAAGTAAGTTCCTCTGGGAGGGGCAGGTTCAATCTAAGTTTATTGCATAGGGTCATTCTAAGTTTACTGCATAGGGCCAATCTAAGTTTATTGCATAAACAACAAAATGGCTCCCTCTGGCTAAGTAGGCCCTTACAATATTCATTTTTGTTATATAGAAATGTGGTTGATTTTTTTCTTTTTTTTAAATTAACATATAATGCATTATTTGTTTCAGGGGTAGAGGTCTGTGAATCATCAGTCTTACACAATTCACAGCTTTCACCGTAGCACATACCCTCCCCAGTGCCCATCCCCCAGACACCCCATCCCTCCCACTCCCCCTCCCCTCCAGCAACTGTCGGTTTGTTTCCTGAGATTAAGAGTCTCTTATGGTTTGTTTCCCTCTCTGGTTTCATCTAGTTTCCTTTTTCTCTCCCGTTTCCTATGATCCTGTGTCTTATTTCTCAAATTCCTCATATCAGTGAGATAATATGATACTTGTCTTTCCCTGATTGACTTATTTCACTTAGCATAATACCCTCTAGTTCCATCCACGTCATTGCAAATGGCAAGATAATCAGGGTTTTTTGATGGCTGCATAATATTCTGTTGTATATATATAGAGAGAGAGATGTGGTTGATTTTTGTGTGTTGATCTTATTTTCTACAACCAGCTTAGCTTATTTATTAGATACAGAGGTGTTCTTTTTTATATTCCTTAAGATTTTCTGCATTGACAATTATGTCACCTAAAATAGGATCACTACGATTTTTATCTTTCCAATCTGTATACCTTTTTTCCTTTGTTTCCTCTCTTGCACTAGCTAGAATTTCCAGTGAGATTTTAATAAGAGCGGTGAGAGTGGACATTTTGTCTTGTTCCTCCTGATCTTAAGGGGAAGCATTCAGTCTTTCACCAATTAAAATTTTTTTGTTTATTTACTACAACTAAAAGTATGTATTTTTAAGGTGCGCAGTGGGCTGTTGTAATGTATGTATTTACATTTTGAAATGATGAACACAAATTAATTAACATAACCGTTACCACCCAGAGTTACCTTTATGTGAGATGTAATATATAAGATCTATGTACTACTTTTTTTTTTAGCAAATTCAAGTATAAACTTCAGTGTTTACTATGATCACCATGCAGTACATTTAGTCTTCAGATATTTTTCTTCTTATAACCAAAAGTTTGTACCATTTGATTAACAACTGCCCTTCACCCCCCTCTCTAGGTTCTCATAACTATCATTCTACCTTCTGTTACTGAGCTTGGTTTTATTTTTAGATTTCACTTATAAGTGAGATCATATAGTATCTATCTGTCCTTCTGTGTCTGATTCAGTTGTACTTATTAGCAATGTTGTCCTCCAGGTTTATCCATGTTTTTTGGAGAGCACAGGATTTCTTTCTTTTTAAGACAATGATATTCCATTTTCTTCTCTTTTTTTAATTTAATTTTATTTTTTCAGTGTTCCAAGATTCATTGTTTATGCACCACACCCAGTGCTCCATACAAATTCCATGTTCTTTATGCATTCATCTGTCTGCTTACATTAAAGTATATATTAATGGGTAAGGATTTACTATTGCATTTCATTAGTCCAAGTTTTTCATAGATCACTTGTTCCTTCTTCCTGTCTTCCTTTGTGATTTCATGGGTGTTTTTTATGGGGGAATGCTTTCATTCCTTTATTTTTGCCTTTTCCATATCTACTCTAGGTTTTTGCTTTGCAGTTACCAAAAGGCTTACATGAAACTTTTTATAGTCTTATAGATATAGCACCCTGTTTTAAGCTCATAAGAACTTAACTTTGGGGATGCCTGGGTGGCTCAGAGGGTTGGGCTGCTGCCTTCAGCTCAGGTCATGATCCCAGGGTCCTGGGATCAAGTCCCATGTTGGGCTCCTTGCTTGGCGGGGAGCCTGCTTCTCTCTCTGCCTCTGCCTGCCACTCTGCCTGCTTGTGCGCACTCTCTCTCTCTCTCTCTCTGAAAAATAAATAAATAAAATCTTTAAAAAAAAAAAAAGAACTTCGTTCTCATTCAAAACCTCAGTGCTTTTACTCCCCCTCTATTTTATGTATTTGAATTCACAATTTACATATATTTATACCGTGTATCCATAAACAAATTCTTATAAGTATTTTTAATTGTTTTTTCTTTTACACTTGAGTTATAAGTGATTTGTATATCACCATTACAATATTACTGTATTCTGAATTTGAGTATATATTTACATTTACCAGTGAGTTTTGTACTTTCATATGATTTCATGTTACTAGTAAGTGTCCTCTCTTTTCACCTTAAAGAACTCCCTTTCGTGTTTCTTGTAAGGCAGCTTTAGTGGTGATGAAATTTTCCACTTGTGTTTGTCTGGAAATGACTTTCTCTCTCCCTCATTACCTGCTTTTCTGGGTAAATTATTTGTGGTTGCTAATGTTTGCTTTTGGGGTTTTTTTGTTTGTTTGTTTCTTTTACGACTTTGAATATTTTATTTCACTGTCTTTTGGCTTTCAAGATTTCTGCTGCTAGAGCCACTGAATAGCCTTGTAAGTGTTCCCTTGTCTGTGATGAGCTCCTTTTTTCTTGCTGCTTTCCAGGTTCTCTGTCTTTGATTTTTGACAGTTTTTTAATAACATGTCTTGGTGAAGTCTTTTTGGGATTCAATCTGATTGGGGACCTTTTTTTTAATTATTATGTTATGTTAGTCACCATACAGTACATCATTGGTTGTTGATGTAATGTTCCATGATTTATTGTTTGCATATAAAACCCAGTGTTCCATGCAATATGTGCCCTCCTTAATACCCATCACTGGGCGAACCCATTCCCCCATCCCCTCTCCCATAAAACCCTCACTTTGTTTCCTGGAGTCCATAGTCTCTCGTGGTTCGTCTCCCCCTCTGATTTCCCCCCCTTCATTTTCCCCTTCCTTTTCCTAATGTCCTCCATGCTGTTCCTTATGTTCCACATGTAAGTGAATTATGCTGAGTGGAATAAGTCAAGCAGAGGACAATTATCATATGGTTTCACTTATATGTGGAACATAAAGAATAGCGTGGAGGACGTTTGTTGACTGGGGACCTTTAACCTTCATATTCCAGATTTCCATATATTTCCCTAGGTTTGGGAAGTTTTCAGCCATTGTTCCTTTAAGTAAGCATTCTGCCCACTAAATTTTGTCCTAGTGCGACTCCCGTAATGTATTGTTTCACTTGGTGATGTCCTGTAAATCCTGCAGGCTTTCTTCCCCAGTTATTTTCATGTTTTTCCCTGGCTCTGACTGCGTAACTTCAAACGCAGAGAAGTGTGATTGGCTTAGGCAGTTGGGGTCCACAACATCAGCAACTGCTTGGTCCATAGGAGCAAGAGCTGTGGGGGCTCATTGTGGCCGTGTTGCTATTTGCCTGTTCAGTAGCACCTCCAGATACAGCGTCAGTGGACTGGGGCAGGCAGAATGGTGGCCAAGGTTGGTGCTGCACACACATTCACCTGTGGGCACTGAATGGAGGCACATGCCCCAAACGAGGGCTAGGCCCAGCAGCAGGGGCCAAGGACAAATGCAGGCACATAGGTAGCACTGAGTGCTGTCTGTCTGCACTCTTGTGACTTCAGGGGCTAGCCACTGTTGCATGCATGGCACTGGGGCTTGTGACCGGAGTTCAGGCTGGCAAAGTACAGGGTTTTGCTGTGGACTCCTGTGGCAGTGCGGTCCAATGACAGGAGTCAGGCTGGCAAAGTACAGGGTTTTGCTATGGACTCATGTGGCAGTGCGGTCCAGTGACAGGAGTCAGGCCTGGCCTTAGGCAACTGAGAAGCTGCTAGGATCTGGGCTGGTGTTGTACCTATGTCCAGTCACAGAGGCCAGGGTGGCTTCTGGTGCAATTTTCAGGGCTCAGGGTGCTAATGGTGATGCTGGCTGAGGCAAGTCCAGTAGGGGCAGAGGGAGCAGAGCTGGACTCAGGCAGCTGGAGTCTGTGAATATGAAAAACTGTGAGACCATCAACAGCAAAATCTTAGAGGGTGCATGGTACTGTACCTGCTGTTGGTTCCTTAGCAGCTCAGGCTGCTAGGGTCTTCGGCAGAACAGGACACAGAGAAACATGGTCGCTCATGCCAGGTGGCTAATGCTGGTAGTCCTGTCCCTCTTTGCTCCTAGCTGTGTCTAGATGTGTCAGCCATGCCAGTCTCTGGGTGGGGTGAAACCAAAGTGCATCATTTGTACCATGCCCTGAAGGGGTGGGGCCAATGGCCACTCACCCCTCTGCCCATTTACCAGGAAGGGGAACTATCTCAGGTCAGAGGGTGTCCTCTTGGTGCTGAGCAGTGCCGGCCTGGGTCATGGGGTGATGCAGGCAAAATGAAGCTAATCTCCCCTACTTTTCTTGTATAGTTCTTCTCAAGAGTTTTGCCCCAGGAGTGTTGTTGAAACTCCTACAATAGACTCCTAAGCTCTTAGGCCTATTTTTGTGGATAGCTGTCTGATTGTTGTCCTTTGTGGGGTGACAGAGGCTGGAGTGTCCTGTTCCATCATCTTCGTGATATCACGTCAGTCTTTCCTCACTGAGGTGATGTTAGGTGTAGGGTTTTTGATGCTCTTTATTAAGCAGAGAAAGTTCCTTCTGTTCTTTGTGAATTTTTATCATGAATGCATAGAGTTTGGGAAGATGGGGGAAAGATTGGAGATAGTTAGCTTGGTAGGCCAGTCCCGAGCTGAGAAATAGAATTATCTCTTTTTCCTTCTGTCCCTTTGGAGAAATACAGGGGGAAAAGATCTCCACGTAACTGTACCATTTCTTCACAATAACATATAGATTCCTAATGGTTTTAGTCTTCAGTATTATTTTTTTAAAGAATCAGTATATCAAGACATCTGTTTTTCCAGATGTGCATGCTGTACATATATGTAAAGACTGAACTGCTCTGAGGCAAGATGCATTGCCAGTCTATTTGGCTGCCTTCCATCTTTGCAATTCTACTCTGCATAGCTTAAGAGAATGTACTAGTTGTTAATTGTGTGCATTCCCCTAGAGATATAGTTTCCCTACCAAATTATTCCATCCCATCTTTATATTGGAAAGGAAACTGGGACATAAAAGCTGGAAAGCATATCAGGTGGCTGGATGCCCCCTTCAACCTTGCAGGAAGCTAAGCATTTGGGATAAATATCTATTAAGCATCTAGCATATGGCCTACTATTAAGTAGGCAGTCACTAAATATTTGGTGAGTAATTCACACCTATTAACAGATTTTCTACAAACTTGGAGGTCTCCAAAACTTATGTGGGGTAAAATGTTTTTCTTTGACTAGTTTCTTGGTCCAGTGGGATTTATGAAAAATTCCGTCTCTATGTCTGACGATGAAGAATGGAAAAGAATACGAACATTGCTGTCTCCAACCTTCACCAGTGGAAAGATCAAAGAGGTAAGAAAGATGAGGATTTCAATTAAAAAGTTAAGGAATACATGTGGGGACAGGTAGGAAATAAGAACTTACTTATGTAAATAAGTATGCTATGTTTGGGCTTCCTAAAAATGGTCTTTTCTCTTTCTGTCCTAGAAAACACAGATAAGATTTGTCATTAAATGTCTCTTACTCTGGCTGACTTATTTTGCTTAGCATAATACACTCTAGTTCCATCTGCATTACTGCAAATGGCAAGATTTCATTCTTTTTGAGGGCTGAATAATATTCCATTATGTATATATGCCACATCTTTTTTTTCCCAAGGATCTCACTTATATGTGGAATTTAAGAAAGAAAAAAGATAAACGTATGGGAATAGGAAAAAAGAAAAAAAGGAGAGAGGGAAGCAAGCCATAAGTGATTCTTAAGGAGAGAACAAACTGAGGGTTGATGGAGGGAGGTGGGTGGGCTAGGGGCTAGATGGGTGATAGTTACTAAAGAGGGTGCTTATTGTGATGAGTACTGGGTGTTGTATGAAAGCGATGAGTCATTGAATTCTACTCCAGAAATCAATATTGCACTATATGTTGAGTAACATAATTTAAATTAATTAAACAATTAATTAAAAATAATTAATTATGAGGCACCTGGGTGGCTCAGTGGGTTGAGGCCTCTGCCTTTGGCTCAGGTTGTGATCCCAGGGGCCTGGGATCGAGCCCTGCATTGGGCTCTCTTCTCAGCGGGGGCCTGCTTCTCTCTCTCTCTGCCTGCCTCTCTGCCTACTTGTGATCTCTCTGTCAAATAAATAAATAAAATCTTTTAAAAATAATAATTATTATTATATTATATTTTTATAGATTTTATAGATTTATATATAATTTTTATACATATAATTAATTAAAAATAAAAATAAAACAATTAATTTTAAAAAATTAATTGAGTAAACACAATTTAATTTTTTTAAAAAGTCCCATACTGCTCCATGTTTGTGAAAGCCAGATCATTCTGGGACTTGATTTTCCAATTTAACTTCAGGTGGTGGTATATTTTGTGTATAGATGTTCCCCATCATTGGCCAGTATGGAGATATGTTGGTGAGGAACCTGAGGAAGGAGGCAGAGAAAGGCAAACCTATCAACTTTAAAGAGTAAGTAGGAGTCCAGTTGCTGGGATTCCAACTCTGTCACGACACTTTCCAGCTGCTGCCGTAAAGCCCAGTTCTCACTGTTGACTTACTCCAGGAAACAAGCTGAAGTAGGCGTGTGGTGTTAAACTCCGCTGGGTGAGCCACGAAGAGGTAGCTCACCTGGAAAGGCAGGGCAGCCAGAAGAGAAAGGATTGGCTCCTGCTTTCGGGAGCAAGGATTAAATTATCTACTTAATTGTCACTTTGGTTATTCTGGAAGACCAAAATACGTTCTTGAAGTGAAGAAACAGAATTGTTCTGAAGTTTTGAGAGTAGAATGTGTGCAGTGGTGGGAGGGGAAGATGCATATTGGCAGGCAGTGGGTGGGGCGGAAAGTTACAAGGTGGAATATGGAACAACTTTTAAAAGTTTCATGATTTGGGGCTCCTGGGTGGCTCAGTGGGTTAAGCCTCTGCCTTCCACTCAGGTCATGATCTCAGGGTTCTGGGATCGAGTCCCACATCGGGCTCTTTGCTCGGCAGGGAGCCTGCTTCCTCCTCTCTCTCTCTCTGTTTGCCTCTCTTCCTACTTGTGATCTCTCTCTGTCAAATAAATAAAACCTTTAAAAAAAAAGTTTCATGATTTTTTTGGTGGATATTTGCAAAATGCTAAATGTTAACTTTTGTTACCACTTTTCCTTCCTTCAACCTCAAAAGAGCTAAAGTCTTACACACAGGGTATGGGTTGGCTGACCACAGGGCGTGCGTAGTCATTTATTATCTAAATTTGGGTATTTTTTAATCATGCAGGAATAACTGGTATACACTGGGTTGTCCTGTGAAAATGAGGAGCATATGATCACTTAGTTATGGGCTTCCATGAACCAGTTTTGGAGTGATCTACTATTTTTCTGGGAACATTCAGAGTTCTTCCATTTTCCAGAAATGAGTGAGTCCTCAGAGCAATCCCAGGTCGGTGGAGATGAGAGAGAGTGGGTCTTTCAGGAGCCTTAGCAGGGGTGTAGGGAAGAAGGGATGGTGTTCCTGGCAGTGCAGAACAGGGTGTTGGTGTTCTGTGGTATGCTGAAGAGAAATCAGCTCTGAGCACAGATACTGTAGTGAGAGAAGATCCAGATCAGTTTCACAGTTCGTGGCTCCATGAGGAAGAGTTAATTATCCCACCACTTGTCCTGCTCAGACACAGTGCTTATCCACCTTCTGCTGCCCATACTCAAAACACACTACTGTAATTTATCCGATTTTGGGTCTCTATCCCACCGTGACTGAGCTCCTGGAGCTCAGAGGTGTGTCTAACATGTCGCAGTGTCCCCATCACCCCCAGCACAAGGCCAGCTGCATCACTGGCACCTCACGAGCACTCATGAGTGAGGGTGATGGCATCTAGACTCTTCAGATGATGCAGCAGCTGGTTCTGAATGTGTGGCTTTTGTCTTGTCTGGACGTCGGAATCTATGTGCACTTTTTGCTGCATGTGTTGGATTAAGATAGTAAAGAGGTGGTGATTTTAATTATACATGTTTTTTCTTTCTCTCACAGCATCTTTGGGGCCTACAGCATGGATGTGATTACCAGCACATCGTTCGGCGTGAACATCGATTCTCTCAACAACCCACAGGATCCCTTCGTGGAAAATGCCAAGAAGCTCTTCAGATTTGAGTTCTTTGACCCACTTTTGTTCTTAATATGTATGTACACTACTGTTTTTTCTTTTCTCTTTCTCTTCCCTTCCTTCCTCCCTCCCTTCCTTCACTTTTTTCTTTCTTTCTACAATAGCTTTATTGAGATATAATTCACTTACTATATGTGTTACCCATTTAGAATATAAAATTCAATGGTTTTTATGACCTCAGTATCTATCAATGAATGAATGTAGAAAATGTGTACACACACACACACACACACGTATATACATACATACACAATGAAATCTATTTAGCCATAACAGAAAGGAGATCCTATATTTGTGACAACATGGATGGAGCTTAAATAAGTTAGAGGAAGACAAATTCTGTATGGGCTTACTTCTATATGGAATCAAACATCCCCCCACCCCTGAAACCAACTTCATACAAAAACAAGGTGAGATTTGTGGTTACTAGAGGCAGGAGTTACAGGGGTGGGAATTGAATGAAGGTGATGAAAAGGTATAAAGTTTCGATTATAAGATAAAAAAGTACTGGCTTGTAATGTACAACAGGGTAAGTATAGTTAACACAGCTGTGTGAAGAGTTTCAAAGTTGCTATGACAGTAGATCCCAGAAGTTCTTATCACAAGGATTAAAAATTTTATTTTGTAAATACATGAGATGATAGACATGTTATTGTGGTAATCATCTCTTCATATATGCATGTCAAAGCCTTATTCAGTATACCTTAACTTGTATAATACTGTGTATCTGTAAACTCAAACTGGAAAAAAAAAAAAGGTTTTGGTGCATTCAAAAATATGGGCAGCCATTACTATAGTCAATTGTTAGACCATTGTTGTCAACTCAGAAATCTGTACTTTTTTACTATCACTACTTACATTCCTTAGTCCTAAGCAGCCAATAATCTTTCTGTCTTAATAGATTTGCTTCTTCTGGATTCTTCATAGAAGCGGAACCATAGAACATCTGATCTTTGTAGCTGCCTTCCTTCATTAGTGTAATGTGTTCAAGGTTTATCCATGTGGCACCATGCATCAGTACCTTCTTTCTTTTTATGGCCAAAAAAATATTCCATTTTGAGGACATACTGCATTTTATATATCCTTTCATCATTTGATGGACATTTGGGTTGTTTCCAGCTCTTGGCTATTGTGAATAGTGGTGCTATCCACATTCACGCACAGGTTTTTGCTTGATTACCTGTTTTCAAGTCTCTTCAGAATGTACTCAGGGGTGGAATTGCTAAGGTATGTAGTTAATTCTGTGTTTAAGTCAATAAGGAACTGCCAAACTATTTTCCATAGTAGCTACACCATTGTACATTCACAGTAGTAAAGTGTGAAGGTGCTGATTTCTCCATCCTTTCCAACACTTGGCCAACACTTTTCTGTCTTTTTTAATAATGTCTCTTTAATGATCCACCTTAATGGGTGTGCTCTTGTTTTGCATTTTCTTTTTTTTTTTTTTTAAGATTTTGTTTGTTTATTTGACAGAGATCACAAGTAGGCAGAGAGGCAGGCAGAGTAGGGGGTGGAAGCAGGCTCCCCACTGAGCAGAGAGCCGGATTCGGGGCTTGATCCCTGGACACTTGGATCATGACCCGAGCCGAAGACAGAGGCCTCAACCCACTGAGCCATCCAGGTGCCCCTGTTTTGCATTTTCTAATGGCTAGTGAGGTTGAACCACTTTTTATATGCTTGTTGGCCAATTTTTTAAGATTTCTTTTCAGTGTTCCAGAATTCATTGTTTATGCACCACACCCAGTGCTCCATGCAATACGTGCCCTCCATAATACCCACCACCTTGGTATTCTATCTAAGAATTCATTGCAAAATCTGAGGTCATGAATACGCCTGAGTTTTCTTCTAAGAATTTTGTAGTTTTAGCTCTCATATTTGGGTCTTTGATTCCTTTTGGGTTTATTTTTGTATAAGGTAAGAATTCAACTTCATTCTTTTGCATGTGACTATCCTCTTGTCTCAGCACCATTTTTTGTAAAGACTGTCTTTCTCCATTGAATGGTCTCAGAAACCTTCTCAAAATTCCACTGACCATAAACACATAGGTATATTTTTAGAGTCTAAATTCAATTCCACTGATCTGTATTCCTATCTCTATGCCAGTACCACACTGCCTTGATCATCATAGCTTTGTGGTAAGTTTTGAAATGGGAACCTGGAGTTCTACAACATTATTCTTCTCATTTTTCAAGGTTGTTTTTGGCTATTCTGGGTCACTTACAATTCCATATGAATTTTAAATTTAGAATGCTGATTTCTACAAAGTACCCAGCTAGGATTCTGACAACAGAATGCATTAATCTGTAGATCAATTCAGGAAACCTTGTCATCTTGACAATGTTAAGGTTTCTGATCCGTGAACATGTGATGTTTCTCCATTTATGCATCTTCTGTAATTTTTCTCAACAACTTTTGTAGTTTCTAGAACATAAGTTTTGCACTTCTTTTGTGAAAGTTATCCTTAAGTATTTTATTGTTCTCAATGTTACTCTAAATGGAGTTTTATTCTTAATTTCACTTTTGGATTGTTCATGGCAGCATATAAACATACAATTGATTTTGTATGTGGATCTTGTATCCTGAAACCCTGCTAAACTCTATCAGTTCTTAAGATTTTTAGTTCATTCCTCCAGATTTTCTACATAAAACATCATGTTATCTGATAATACAGATGGTTTTACTTCTTTATTTCTTTTTTTTAAGATTTTATTTATTTATTTATTTGATACTATTTATTTATTTGATGGACAGAGATCACAAGTAGGCAGAGAGGCAGGCAGAGAGAGAGGGAAGCAGGCCCCTCGCTGAGCAGAGAGCCTGACCTGAGCTGAAGGCAGAGGCTTAACCCACTGAGCCACCCAGGATGTTAGCACAAATCTCCCCTTTCATTCAGGTACCCCTACTTCTTTATTTCTTATATGAATGTCTTTTATTCTTTTTCTTGCCTACTTCCCCAGCTAGACCTTTAGTACAGTGTTGAATAGAAGTGGCAATAGAGACATCCTTGTTTTGTTTTTACTCTTAGGGGAAAATGCCCAGTCTTTCACTGTTAAGTATGGTGTTAGCTATGAGCTTTTCATGGATGCCCTTTAATAGACTGAGAATATTCCTTTCTATTCCTAGTTTGATGAGTGTAATTATTGCAAAAGGGTATTGCGTTTTTGTCAAGTACTTTTCCACACCTATGGAGATGACTATGTTATTTTTGTGTTTTATTCTACTGATATGGTGTATTACACAAACTCACATTGCTGGGATAAACCCCCCTTGGTTATAGTATATCCTTCCTTTGTTTGGTATGTTGCTGGGTTCAGTTTGCTAGCATTTTGTTGAGGGTTTTTGCATCTGTGTCAGAAGATACATTGGCCCATAGTTCTCTTTTGCCATGATACCTTTGTCTGTTTTTAGTATCAGGATAATACCTCCCTCATAGAATATGTCTGGAAATACTACATCCTCCTCTCTTTGGGGTAGGATTTATTCAGAATTGGTGTTGATTCTACTTTCAATATTTGGTAGTAGAGTTTCTTCACTACTAACTCAGTGTTTTTCTTGTCTTTAAGATTGTCTACTTTTTTATGTCCGTTTCCTGTTTGTATCTCCCTGGGAATTTTTCTGTTTCGTCTAAGTTACCTAATCTATTAGCATGTTCTTGTTCGTAGTATTACAAGATACCACCATATTATTGTGAGATACCACCTCACACCAGTCGGAATGGCTAAAATTAACAAATCAGGAAACAACAGATGTTGGCAAGGGTGTGGAGAAAGGGGAATCCTCTTACAATGCTGATGGGAATGCACACTGGTACAGACACTCTAGAAAACAGTATGGAAGTTCCTCAAAAAGTTGAAAATAGAGCTACCCTATGACCCAACAATTGTACTACTAGGTATTTACCCAAAGAATACAAAAAGGGGCACCTGCACCCCAATGTTCATAGCAGCAATGTCCACAATAACCAAACTGTGGAAAGAGCCAAGATGTCCATCGATAAGTGAGTGGATAAAGAAGGTGTGGTATATATATACAAGAGAATATTACTCAGCCATCAGAAAGGATGAATAATTACCACTTACATCGACATGGGTGGAACTGGAGGGTATTATGCTGAGCAAAATAAGTCAATCACAGAAAGACAATTATCATATGGTTTCACTGATATGTGGAACATAATATGGATCATAGGGAATCCTATGGATTCTATGGATCAAAGAGGATCATAGGGGAAGGGAGGGAACACTGAATGGGAAATCATCAGAGAGGGAGGAGAAAAACCATGAGAGACTTTTATCTACAGGAAACAAACTGAGGGTTGCTGGAGGGGAAGTAGGTGGTGGGATGGGGTAATTGGGTAAAGGGCATTGGAGGGGGCATGTGATGTGATAAGCACTGGGTATTACATGCAATTGATGAGTCACTGATCTCTGCTTCTGAAACTAATAATATACTGTATGTTAATTAATTGAACTTAAATAAAATTTTTTTAAATGAAAAAAATAAAATCTTTTTAATGTTAGCACAAATCTCCCCTTTCATTTCAGATGATAGAATTTGAATCTTTTCTCCTTTTCTCTTGATCATCTAGCTAAAGATCTTTTGAAAGAAATCAGCCTTGGTTTCCTTGATTTTTTTTTCCTATTGTTTTTTATTCTTCATTTCATGAGTTTCTGCTCTTGTCTCTATTGTTTGCTTCCATCTGCTTGCTTAATGTGCAGTTTGGTCTTGTTATTTCAGCATGTTTAAGATGGAAAGTTAGATTGTTGATTTGAGATCTTGGTCCATTTTGAATGTAGACATATAGCAGTTTTTCTCTCTGGTGACTGCTTTTGCTACATCCCTTGAGTTTTGGTATATCATACACATGTTATCAGTCTCCAGGGAATTCCTAAGTGCCCTTTTGACTTCTTCTTTGAACCATTGTTATATAGCAGTGTCCTGTTTAATTTCTACATATTTGTGAATTTCCTAATGTTCTTTCTGTTCTTGATTTCTAATTTTATTCTATTGCAGTTGAAGGGCATACTCTGCATTATTTGCATCCTGACAACAATTTCTTAAATGGTACAATTAATTGAAGTAGCATATCATGGTCTGGTTTATCCCAAGAGGCTCTAGTCCAAAAGATAAAAGGCTAAGAGATCCAGGAATGTTCTCCTGTTCCTTTAGTCACTCCAGAGATATCCAAGAGGCTGCTGATCTCACTACTGTAGTGGCGGCCCTTACATATGACTTGCACCGGCTTAGTCCTTGGCTTGAAAGTTGGAGGAAAGGTCATAGAGGGAATGACTCCTAGTTTCAATAACTCCTTGTGTCTTTTGCTTTTCTAATTGGTAGACCAAATTATAATTGCTCTGGGAAAATTTTCCATTTTCACTGTGCTTTCTGTTGTTCTTTTTCCTTACAGTATTCTTTCCATTCCTTACCCCGGTTTTTGATATATTCAATATCTCTGTGTTTCCGAAGAGTGTTACCGATTTTTTTACAAAATCTGTAAAAAGGATGAAAGAAAGCCGTGTCAAAGATGAACAAAAGGTAAATCTGTTGATCATTAACATGCAGTATTTTACTTTTTGATAATTGAGCTGTGTGCATCTGATGTGTGCTCTTCTATGTATTTTTTTTAAAGATTTTATTTATTTATTTGACAGAGGTCACAAGTAGGCAAGAGAGGCAGGCAGGGAGAGAGAGGAGGAAGCAGGCTCTCTGCGGAGCAGAGATCCCGATGTGGGGCTTGATCCCAGGACCCCGGGATCATGATCTGAGCCGAAAGCAGAGGCTTTAACCCACTGAGCCACCCAGGTGCCCCTCTTATATTTTTTTTTTTTTTAGGGTGGGTAGAGAACTGCAGTATTCAGATCAGAAGAGTTCTATCATTTTGGGCAGAATGAAGAAGGTGGAGGTTTAGGAGCCAAAGAGACAACAATTAAAATTTAGTAATAAGCATGGCAATTAGTATGTCACTGCATAAAATTTGTTGAGAGAAAAACTACCACTTCCCCTCAATAAATTGTCAGAGGATAAAAATCACTATGTAAAAATCATTTTCCGGGTAGTATAATTTTGCCATATCTTATATTGGCAGACATCCCTTCAATTTCAAGCCTTTACTTTATACATTCTCCAGTGTAGTTCCTATCAGACACCTGGTGTCTGTGTTAAATTTGAGCCTGTGACAGGCTGGAGTGGGCAGGAGACAGCAAGATGGCTGAGCCTGCTTTGCCTTCTTGAGACCTGGCAGCCAGAATAAGGATGTATGTAGGACAGGGATACAGGGTTGGGTGCCTCAGGATGTCACTGAAGATTCCAGAGTTCTGGAAGGGTGGGGCATTGGAAGATGCTGACACAGAGGCTGCTGGTGGACTCAGCAGAGGTCAGGGGATTGATCTATGTGGCCATTCATTAAGAATTGAAGCTGGAGAAAAAAAGAACTGAAGTCAGGGACTGTCTCCTGAGGAACCAGGCATGACAGGAGAGGGAGCTGACAACTCTTTGGCCAGAAAGCCATGGTCAAAAGCCAGATGAGCTAAAGATCAGAGAGGGCAAGGACCAAAAATCAGTTGGACATGATGGCTGGATTCCTATCAGAGAAACAGTCTGCTCTGCAAGTTTCATATCTGGATTTTTTTTTCACTGATGACTCAGACAACAGTATTCAGACTTCTGGCCATAAAGGGGCAATATTCTCAGGAAAGAAGTTAGATACCGTACCCCTGATTTATTTCTGACTTCATAAGTGACATTTTACCATTGAAACTTCTCTTTCTACTTCCAGCACCGAGTGGATTTTCTCCAACTGATGATTGACTCCCAGAATTCTAAAGAAACAGACACCCATAAACGTGAGCAAGGAGAGCTTCTGAGGGCCTGCAATGGGGAGGTTCAGAGGCAAGGGGTGGTTCTGAGATGTAGAGGAAGATTTTTAGCAGATGGAATTTCTGCAAATTGAAGAAAGACACATGTTCAGATATAAATGGTAGCCAGAACCACTTTCCAGAAGCATGCAGCCACAACTCTCTTCAGTACTTGAAAGGCAGCCATAAACGCGGCAGTTGGTGGTCTGGTCTACATCAGAACTTTTGGGGAGCTTGCTTCCAATGTCAATTCTCCAGTTAAATCAGACCCTCTGAACGGGAACCTCTACCTGGAAATTTGCATCAAGTCTTCATCACATCAGGAGGCACTTGGCCCCAGTGTTGGTGACCTTCACCTGGAACACTTGGTTGAACTTGTGTTCACTGCCTTAATGTATTATAAAGTTTTGTTTTTCATTTTGTAATTAAGAAGTGACTGGTGCAAGATGCCTTTGCGATTGTATAAATACTGTGTTTTTCTTCAAACATTCATCTACTACTTTTATCATGGATGGTATTTAATTGAAACTATTATTCCTATAATGGCTTCAAAATGGTGACTTTCTAATTCCATCATTTCTTCTACATTTATGGGTGATAGTCCATTATAAGGGAGCTTCATGTTCTCTCTCATTAATTTATTTATGTCAGTCTGATCTCATATTTTGCTAACTTAGTCTCTTAAATCATTCTTTATTTGGATCCTCAAATTCACTCAGGTTTGTCCATTGGAAGCCCTTGCAAGTGGGATCCTGTGTGCTTTCTTTTCTCTTTTTTCTTTTCTCTTTTTCTTTTCTTTTCTTTCTTTTTTGGGGTTTTTGTTTTGTTTTGTTTTGAGTAGATTTTTTAATAGCAGTTTTAGATTCAAGCAATATTGAGTGAAAGGCACAGAGATTTCCAGTATTTTCCACCTGCACACAGCCACCCCCACTTTCAAAATCTCTCCGATGTGGTAATTTTGTCACAATCAGTATACATACAATGACACATTATTACCATTTAAGTCCATAGTTTAAATTAGGATTTATTGTGGATGTGGTATTTCTATGAGTTTTGACAAATGTGTAATGGTGCATATCTACCATTATAGTACATAGAGTCTCCTGTATCCTTTTCACAGATTACTTTATGAGCACTTCTTGCATCTGACATAAGACATTCCAGGTCTCCCTTTTACTTCCCCTGATGAGCCTTGAAATCAGCCATTACTTCAAGGAGCTCTGTTTCCTTTTAGTGAGAATGGTATTTAGAAAAGAAACTCTGGGATGCATGGGTGGCTCAGTCAGTTGAGCACCTGACTCTTGGTTTCAACTCAGGTCATGATCTCATGGATCATAGGATCAAGCCCCGCATCTGGCTTTGTGCTCATTGGGGATCTGTTTGGAGATCCTCTCCCTCTGTCCCTACCCTCCTAGCACACATGTGTGTGCTTTCTCTTTCTCAAAAATAAATGAATGGATTTTAACCAAAAAAAAAAAAAAAGAAGAAGAAGAAGAAGAAGAAAGAAACCAAAACCTGGGATCTAGGAGTGCTCATTGCTCTTAGGGTTGCTTTTTTTTTCCTAGATCGTCTCAGTGGACCAGGCTAATCACATCAAATATATTTACACAGGAATGATAAACCTAAATATTTCTTTATATCTCCATAACCGGTGATTGTAGACATGCTGTCTCCCAAATAAAAGCCTTGATGTATAGTTTCTTTCAATGACAGAAACATTCCCATCATGGTTAACTTCAAGCTATCAAGGTTTCACAACCATCTCACAAAATTCCTATATATTTAACAATTGATTCTGGAGAAAAGGGACAGCCTTACTCTATTACATCACTAAAATATATCTATACCAATGTAAACATCTACCTCTATCTATCTATCTGTGTGTTTGGTTCAAGAAATTTTCGTGATGAAGGAAATATTCTGTATCTGCCCTGTTCGGTACAGTGACCACTGCACACATGTGGCTACTGAGCGCTTGACATGTGGTCAGTGCCTCTGAGGAGCTGAATCTTATATTGTGTTTAATGTAATCAATTAAAATTTATATTTAAATAGCCACATCTGGCAAATGGCCACCACATTGAGCAGTACAGATCTAAACTTTGAATGTCACTGGGTCCATGCTAAAGGAGGAAAGGTTGGATAGTTGAATGTGTCCACAGTGACATCACAGAAGGTATCACTGAAAATCTGAAATCTGTAGATCTTTCTTACAATTATGCTGTGTTGTTTCTAGTTGTGAATTTCATGTCTGTTGCAGATACCTTGTTCATTTCAGTGCTCTAAGGATCTAAAGGTCCTAATCCAGTTCCAATCAAATAGGTTAGAGCCTGGGCAGCTTAGTTTCTACCAGGAGAAAATCAGAGAAGCCAATTTACATATAGGTTGGAGCCATTCACTAAGGAAGGTGACATTCAGGCCTGACTGAATGAGCATTGCTCTATCTACTCACTGGATTCTGTTTCTCTATATTTCATGCTGGCCAGTACCCTTCTACTGACGCATTCTTTCTTATGCTTTTTTCTAATTAACATAGAGTGTTTTATCCGCCCCAGGGGTATAGGTCTGTGAATCATCAGTCTTACAATGCATAGCACTCACCATAGCACATACCCTCCCCAATGTCCATAACCCAGCCACCCTGTCCCCCCACCCAAATCCCCCCAGCAACCCACAGTTTCTTTCCTGAGGTTAAGAGTCTCTTACAGTTTGTCTCCCTCCCCGGTCCCTTCTTATGCTCTTTTAATGGCATTAGCTACCTGGCATCAGTCTCCCCTTTTCTAGCTTCTTATCTGTGTTATAGTTTCTGTATGTATCTGAGATCGTCCACTTGAAGGGTAGTGTGCCCCAGGTCTTCTATTACCAGATGCCTCCCAAAGATATAATCCATGCATCTCATCACATTTTGTGAAAGCTCAGATTTTGGTTCCATTGTGCTAGGATGAGGTTTGAAATTCTGCATTTCCAATAAGCTCACGGATGCTGTTGATGCTGCTGGTCCATGGAGCACACATTGGACAAAAGTTTTTCTGTAGCCCAATATTGTTTTCTTAAGTTCCTGCCAAAATGTTTAGATAAAAGTTCATTGAATTTTCCTGACCATTAAGCCTTAGCATTGCATACTCTCTCTCAAAAAAAAAAAAAATAATAATAATAATAATAATAAGCTGTAGAAGAATGTAAATTTTTCCCAGGAAAGAATACAGCCTGTGTTACTTATGGCTAAACTACTTTTAGGACTCTTCAGAGATGGACGGATAACACTATGTATGTGAGACAGAAATGCCATCTCCTAAAATTAGCCACCTGTGTTGGTGGGGAAGCTTATGCTCCTGGCATAAGCAGGAGCAGATGGCCAAAAATAGTTAAAATCCTGGGCAATAAGCAGATCAAAACAACTTTTGCCTCTTTCTGGCTCTGTAGGATAGACATCAGAGTGCAAACCACTCCTAGTCTGATTCCGAATTGCTTTTACCTATTTTCCCTAAGGGATCTGGGAGTTTCATTTGGGCTTCTTGTCATTTGAACTGTGATGTTTTTCATTCACCAGCTTTAGCTAAAATGTCTTTCTTCTCCTCTTAGCTCTGTCTGATCTGGAGCTTGTGGCCCAGTCTATGACCTTTCTTTTTGCTGGCTATGAGACCACTAGCACTGCTCTTTCCTTTTTGGCTTATGAATTGGCCACTCACCCTGATGTCCAGCAGAAACTACAGGAGGAGATTGATTCGACTTTCCCCAAGAAGGTGAGCAAGTCATGCCTGAGGAGGGAGGTCAGGATGAGCTCTGTGATGCCTTAGTAACAGAAGAGCCCTCAGATCTTGTGGGTTTACATAGCAAAGGTTTACTTTTGACTCACATTCCCATGTCCACAATGGGTATTAGTTGAGGATGGGAGTATTCAGTGATACAGGGTAAAGAGGCTCTGCTTTCTTATACCAGTGTTATCTAGAACGCAAAGACTTTATGTTGGCCGGAGAACAAAAAACTAGAGTGTTGCTCACTTGCTTTTCCATTATTTGGCCCCAAACTGACATACAGATCCTCAGATCACAGCCCATTTGCAAAGTGGTTTCCCTAAGGTCAGGGGGGCTGGGAACTATGGGGGTCTACTTGGATCTTGGGTGGGCAGTAAGTGTCTATGCCCCACACCCTCTGAAGGGTCAACTCTAATTAGCTCAACATAACAAGTCAGAAACTGAGCTACAGAGACATAACATAACTTTCTTTCACATCGCATACCTAGTGGTGAAAAAGCCAAGCTACGAACCAGATTGCCTGGATCCTGATGGAACTCATAACTCCTACAGTGTTGGCTCTTAAATATAACACCAAGCGATAGACACAATTGCCCACAGTTTTCAGGCCTCTGCGCAAACTGAAATTCTCTGCTTAGGAAGACACTTGGCCTCTGGGGCTGGAGCGGCTTATTTGGTTTATTGTCAACCTTGATGCAACAACTATGAGACCCTTCCTGCAACAGAGGGTGGGGCTGAGGGTAGGTTTCTTATTCCTTTACATCTTTCCCTAGAACTGAAATTGCGTACCATGGTACCATCTTATCTTAGTCTTCTTTTCTTGTATTTGTGTTAGAGAAGAACTCATTACTCCCCAGATTATTTGTAGACTTTTTACATAATATAGTGCTTCTCTCCAAACTTTATATATATAACCAAAAACTAGGAAGCAGGATATTTCAACTAGAAGACTTTATGTGTAATAGGGGATTTTTTTCTGTTTTTTCTGTCCATTCTCTTTCCTTGGTACAGATGTGTGGGCCCTCTTTTGAAAGCAAACAGTGACTTCAGCATATTCCAAGTAAAAGTAAGGGTTATAGGCTTTTAATCACTTTTGTTTACATGAGGAAGAATAACTACTACATGGTGGTGAAAGGGACTTCAGGCCCTGTTTAGGGGGTTGTCCCAGCGGTCTCCCCTAGTGACTTGTGTCCCTACTCTACACGTCAGTGGGCTGCTGAACAGGTCAAAGGACATGGTAGATATGAAAATGTCCATAAATGCCCTTTACCAAAATACATGATTCTTAGGTGTCCCTAACACTACAGTAGTGTATAGAGTGAGTTGAATGTTGATTCCAAATCTCAATGTATCAAAATCTGTTTCTTTCCTTCCAGGCACCACCTACTTACGATGGCCTAGTACAGATGGAGTATCTGGACATGATGTTGAATGAAACTCTGAGATTACATCCAATCGGTGGCAGACTTGAGAGGGTCTGTAAGAAAGATGTGGAGATCAGTGGTGTGTTCATCCCCAAAGGGACAGTGGTGATGGTGCCAGTGTTCACTCTTCACCGAGACCAGGATCTCTGGCCAGAGCCTGAGGAGTTCCGTCCTGAAAGGTACAGGGAACCCTGGAATGGGGAACCCACCCTCATACTGGAGGATATTCTGATATTTCCTTCATATAGATGACAAGCATGTAGTTGTACAATTATTCATTTGGACATCTTTGTGCTCATAGAAGTTTTTTTCTTACTACAAAATGATCATTCTTTGTTGTCAATATTTTATAAGCTGTAGACTTAGAAACTATAGAAACAAAATTATAGTCATGTACAGACCAAATATATTAAAATTATCAATAATGTCATGTATCTCCTTATGGACATTTTTCTGTGTATTATAGATTACTAAAAATTAGGATGATATTATAATTTTTTGTTTTGAACTGCTTAATGTAACATTAGACTGCAAACAACATGCTATATTTCTGTGTGTGATTATATGTATATGACTTATCTTTTTTTAACCACTATCATCTTTCAGGAAATAGGCCTTTTTTCCCTTTAAGTTTTTCTGTCCTCTCTAGCTCTCTGAATTCACCCTCCAGCCCCCACATTCCATGTTTATTAACCTTGGCCCCTGTTCTTTCTGGCCTTAGTGGGAGAGCAGATGCTGTGGACCTGAGTCCTCATCCCTGGCAGGGGGAGCAGCCTCATGGCTGCTCATCTCTGATTCTTTTTGAACTCTTTTATTTCTGTTTAGGATATCACTGATGTCTTCTCTTCTTTTCTCAAGCCCAGTGAGTGTTCTTTTGATTGTTGCTTTAAATTCTCCATTAGGCCTATTACTTGTATCTGTTTTACATAAATGTCTGGCTGTGGTCCAGGGTTCTACAGGGCCTCAGTTCTGGTGGAGTCGGTGTCAGGTCTCATTTCACAAGCAGACCAGAGCACACCTAGTTAAAACTCACCACTTTCAGGCCAGGGACCAAACATTGCCCACAGCAAGCAAGGAGAGCCTCTACAGACAGCTGGCCTGAACAATAGAGCTGCCAAAACCCAACAGCAGAGCCCAGGCACCACACACCAGTGACACTCTGTGAAGCTCCAGGCCCTGAGTGCTACATGACCTCTTATTCATAAGGCCATTACTTTCAGGAGCACACACAAGTCCCATGCTATGTGTGGCTACAGTCCTGTGCTAGCTCTTGGTATCTGGGCTTCATTAAAAGCAAACTCATCTGCTCTCTAGCTGTCTGAGACATCTTCCTTAGAGGGGTCTTGAGCTTTCTCTTCTGGGAATTCAAAGCAGAGTCTGGCTTTGGGCAAAGCTTGAATCCTTAAAAGAGTTGGTGCTTTCCTGTTTATTGTATTGGTGAACAAAATTTAGAGTGAACTTTTTAGAGATCTAGACTTTAAGCCCCTGTCTCTAAGCCCTTATGGCAGAGGCCTTATCTTGTTGTGTGGTGTCCCTAGTGCTAGCATCACATTTACACACAGTACTTGCTGAAAGAAGTCAGAATTGACCAAGTTGTCTGTTCTTTAGACCAGGAACCCTGGCGGTTCCCACAAGTTCAGCAGTCCCCACTCCTGTAGCTTCTTGAACAGAAACCAGAGAGCACTCCAGGTACTTCTCTATAATTCATTCAATCATGAGAAGGGCTTACCTATGTGTTTCAGGGACTGGCCAGAGAGTAAGAAATGCACATATTAAAAAAGGCTACTACGGAGCATTTTTGACATATACACAGGCATATCCTAGAGACACACATCTATGAAATACTTTTAATGCATCATGTGTGCCTGTCACCTGCCCAACAACCACTAACCCATCCACATGCCATTGTAATCCTTCATCTGATTCCCATATTACATTTATGTACATCATCTGCGATCATTCTAGAATGCTCTCCATAACATAAGGACTTTAAAAAATAACCTCACCACAATGCCATTATCACTTTTCCAAAATCCAAATTTTCCCTTAATATAATCAAATATTCAGGAATCTGTTTTAAATAAAATATAGGATTAACCTTCAAGGAATTTATACTCTCATGAAGCAGATAGACAGTGATTATACTGATTATATGTATCGGAGAGTTTGACAACACTAGAGTAGCATCATGTGCCCGTGTGAATCTTCTGACTTGTTTTTGAAAGTGAGAGGAGGTACAAGTGGAGACGATAGGGATGAAAAGAGAAAAATAGAACTTTAAATCATGGCGGGTGGGGTGCCTGGATGGCTCAGTTGGTTAAGTGTCAGGTCATGGTCCTAGGGTCCTGGGATTGGGCTCCACTTCAGGCTCCCTGCTCCGTGGGGAGCCTAGTTCTCCCTCACCCTCTGCCTGCCACTCCCCTCTGCTTGTATGCTCTCTCTCTTTCTGTCAAATCAATCAGTCAGTCAATCAATCAGTCATGGGAGGCATTTTCTCTACTTTCTTTTTCCATGAGCATGTGACCAATGTAAGTGGGAGTGGAGGCAGGAATTGACCTTTCCTTCAGTCAGGCTCATTTCCTGCTTGCCTTTCAGGGTGTGAACATCTCACCATCCCAAATGCAATTCTAATGTTTTAAGATAAATCTTCTTTTCAACAGCATTCATCTCATCTCAACAAGACTAAATGCTCCCATAGGGTATGGGAAATGCATAGGATCTATAATTTACTATTGTCACCACAGAATCAGCATAGCAAGATTTCAGTCACCAACCCCCAAAAGTGTGTCCCATATAGTCCTGGTAAGAATCCCAAATCCCAAACGTGTAGCTCTTATGGTTTCTGTGTTTCACTAACGTGTTCCCAACTTGTATTGTGGAACCAGGTTCAGCAAGAAGAACAAGGACAGCATAAATCCTTACACATACCTGCCTTTTGGAACTGGACCCCGAAACTGCATTGGGATGAGGTTTGCGACCACGAGCATGAAACTTGCCCTTGTCAAAGTCCTGCAGAACTTCTCCTTCAAACCTTGTAAAGAAACACAGGTCAGAGAGATTGCTTTCTACATAAATAGTATTTTATTGTTTTGTATTCAAACTAAGAGATAAGTAATGGATATGTGTGAGTCAGTGGGGAGGGGTCACTTATCCTTAATAATTTGTTCTATCAGCCAAGAGAATCTATTTGGAGTCATGTGTGACCATTATTCAGCTCATGAGTGCCATGTCTGTGATTTATGACCACTCAACCATAAGAGTCATCTAGTCAGTTACATAGCTTGGCATGCTTATGCACAGACCTTTGAACTTGAGCAATGTTTTAAATTTCTCTCAAGTCCACTGAAAGGAAGGAAACATGTTGTGCATAGTCTTGACATGCAGTGATTATCATGACATGACTTTTTTTTTGTTGTTTTGGTCTTTTTTAAGATTTTGTTTATTTATTAACAGACAGAGAGCACAGGTAGGCAGAGAGGCAGGTAGAAAGAGAGGAGGAAGCAGTCTCCCCACTGAGCAAAGAGCCTGATGCAGGCTCAATCCCAGGACCCTGGGATCACAACCAAAGGCAGAGGCTTCAACCCACTGAGCCACCCAGGCGCCCCCATGACATGACTTTTGAAGGATGATCTTCTCCACCACAACTTACAGACACTCTCATGACTGTGGTTCTCAACCCCATTTATACATTGGAATCGGTGGGTTCTTTTGAACCGAAGAATACCTGGGACACACAGAGGGGAGATCATCCCTCTTCTAGGAGAGCATCCTTGAGAGGCAGTGTTCACGAAGATGCCTCTCCAGGAACAAATGAGCGGGCTGGTACCTTTTGCTCCCCCACTACTCACCAGAAACACAGAGTCACCTGTAGGAAGCAGCACAATGCTAGTACTGACTGCCCAACTCGCTTACACTGAGCCCCACCTCCCTGTGCTCTGGTGGGACTACACTTCTCAGTCAGGCTTGCCTCCCAGCATAACAGACCCTTTCCCCAGAAGACCAGCATAAACCCTTCCTCACACCAAGCCTCCTGACCAGAGTGTTCTACAGGGCCTCAGTTCTGGTGGAGTCGGTGTCAGGTCTCATTTCACAAGCAGACCAGAGCACACCTAGTTAAAACTCACCACTTTCAGGCCAGGGACCAAACATTGCCCACAGCAAGCAAGGAGAGCCTCTACAGACAGCTGGCCTGAACAATAGAGCTGCCAAAACCCAACAGCAGAGCCCAGGCACCACACACCAGTGACACTCTGTGAAGCTCCAGGCCCTGGGTGCTACATGACCTCTTATCCATAAAGCCATTACTTTCAGGAGCAGGAGACATAACTGGCTTTTCTAACAGAGAAGAAGGCAGAGACCTAGACAAAATACCAAGATGGAGGAATTTACCCCAAATGGAAGATCAAGATAAGACCACAGCCAGAGATTTATGTAAAACAGTTATAAGTAACAGACCTAATGGAGAACTTAAAACAACAATCATAAGGATACTCACTGGGCTTGAGAAAAGAAGAGAAGACATCAGTGATACCCTAAACGGAGATAAAAGAGTTAAAATAAGAATCAATCAGAGATAAAGAATGCAATACATGAGGTTGAAAACAAGCTTGATGCAGTGAACAGCAGCTAGAGGAAGCAGAGGAATGAATTAGTGACCTAGAAGATAACGGAAATAACAGAAAATAATGAAGCTGAACAAAAGAGATAAAGAAGAATTATACAACACAAGAATAGATTTAGGGAACTCTGTGATTCCATCAAACATAATAACATTTGTATTATATGAATCCCTGAAAAGGAGAGAGAAAAAGGGACAGAAAATTTATTTGAAGGAATAATATCTGAAGTCTGGGGAAGGAAACAGACACCCCGACTCCAGGAGGCACAGAGAACTCCCATCAAAATCAAATAATCAGGCCAACACCAAGACATGTAATTAAATTTACAAAATAGGATTGCCTGACTGGCCCAGTCAGTAGGACATGCGACTCTTGATCTCAGAGCATGAGTTCAAGCCCCACACTGGGCATGGAGCCTAATTAAAATAAAAAATAATAATAATAATACAGAAAAATTTAAGAACCTTTTGAAAAAATCTGCAAAATATAGCAATAAAGAAAAAATCTTAAAAGCACCAAAACCAAAGTGGTCTTTACCTTAGAAGGGAAAACCTATAAGGCTAGCTGGGGATTTCATTTTAGAGCTAAAGATACCTGCAGATTGAAAGTGATGTGATGAAGAAGCATTTATCGTGCAGATTGATGTCAATAGAGAACTGGAGTAGCAATACTTACATCAGACAAACTAGACTTTAAAACAAAGTCTATAAAAAAGAGACAAAGAAGGGCATTATATAATCATACAGGGGACAATCCAACAAGAAGATCTAACAGTTGTAAATATTTATTAACCAACGTAGGAGTACCCAAATATATTAAACATAATAACGAATATAAAGGAACTTATTGATAATAACACCAGAACAGTGGAAGACTTTAACACCCCACTGACAGCAATGCACAGATCATCTAAACAGAAAATCAGCAAGAAAGCAATGACTTTTAATGACACCCTAGACAACGGGACTTAATAGATATATTGAGAGCATTCCATCCCAAAGCAGCAGAATGCACATTCTATTCAAGTGCACATGGAACATTCTTCAGAATAAATCACATATTGGATCACAAAACAAGCCTCAAAAAATACAATAAGATTGAAATCATACCATGCACCTTTGTTGACCACAACACTATGAAAAGAGACATCAAACAAAATAACAAATTTGGACAGACCACAAATACATGGAGACTAAACAGTGTTACTAACAATGCATGGGTCAGCCAGGAAATCAAAGAAGACCTTAAAAAAATACATGGATACAAATGAAAGTAAAAACACAATGACCCCAAACTTTTGGGATGCAGCAAAAGCAGTCCTAAGAGGGAAATTTATAGCATAGAGGTGTGCCTCAAGAACAAGAAAAATCCCAAGTAAGCAACTTAACCTTATACTTAAAGGAGCTAGAAAAAGAACAGCAAGTGAAGCCTAAAACCAGCAGGAGGAAGGAAATAATAAAGATTAGAACAGGAATAAGTGATATAGAAACCATAAAAACAATAGAACAGATCAATGAAACCAGGAGCTCGTTCTCTGAAAAAAATTGGTGAAATTGACAAACCTCCAGCCAGGCTTATCAAAAAGAAAAGAGAAAGGACCCCAATAAATAAAATCACAAACAAGGGATGGGAAATAACAACCAATACCACAGAAATTTTTTAAAAAATTATAAAAAAAATAAAAAATAAAAAATAAAAAAAATTATGAGAATATTATGAAAACCCATATGCCAACAAATTAGACAACCTGAAAGAAATGGATAAATTCCTAGCAATATATAAACTACTGAAACTGAAACAGGAAGAAATAGAAAACTTGAACAGATCAATAATCAGCAAAGAAATTGAATCAGTAATCAAAAAACTCCTAACAAACCAGAGTCCAGGGCCAGATAGTTTTACAGGCAAATTCTACCAAATATTTAAAGAGTTCATGCCTATTCTTCTCACAGATCTCTTCTATGAGCCCAGCATTGCCCTGATACCAGCACCAGATAAAAGATTCCACTAAAGAAAACTACAGGGGCGCCTGGGTGGCTCAGTGGGTTAAGCCTCTGCCTTCAGCCCAGGTCATGATCTCAGGGTCCTGGGGTCGAGCTCCGCATCAGGCTCTCTGCTCGGCAGGGAGCCTGCTTCTCCCTCTCTCTCTGCCTGCCTCTCTGCCTACTTGTGATCTCTCTCTGTCAAATAAATAAATAAAATCTTTTTAAAAAGAGAGAGAGAGAGAGAACTACAGGCCAATATCCCTGATGAACATGGTGTAAAAATGCCCAATGAATACTAGCAAACTGAATCCAACAGTACATTAAAAAAAAAAAATCATTCACCACAATCAAGTGGGATTTATTCCTGGCTTGCAAGGGCGATTCAGTATTTGAAAATCAATCAATGTGATACACCACATTAATAAAAGAAAGGATAGGAAAGATATCATTTCAAGTATTTGACAAAGTACAACAACCATTCATGATAAAAGTCCTCAACAAGACACATTTTGAGGGAACATACCTCAACATAAAAAGGCCACATATGAAAAACCCACAGCTGATATCATCCTCAATAGGGAAAAATGGAGAGTTTTTCCTCTATGGTCAGGAATAAGACACATGTCCACAGACATCACTGTTATTTAACATAATAGTGGAAATCCTAGCCACAGCAGTCAGACAACACAAATAAAATGCATCCAAGTCAGCAAGGAAGAAGCTGAACTCTCACTACGTGCAGATGACATGATACTCTATATAGAAGACCCAAAACCTCCACTAAAAAGCTGCTAGAACTGATCAACGAATTCAGTAAAATTCGCAGGATACAAAATCAATGCCAGGAATTTGTTGCATTTCTATACACCAAGAAGGTAGCAACGGAAAGAGAAATCAAGGAATCAATCCCATTTAAAATTGCACCAAAAATTAAGATGTCTAGGAATAAGCCTAACCAAAGAAGTGAAAGACCTGTGCTCTGAAAACTATAAAACAGAGATGAAAGAAATTGAAGAGGCACAAAGAAATGGGAAGACCTTCCATGCTCTTGGATTGGAAGAACAAATATTGTTAAAATGTCCATACTACCCAAAGCAATGTACATGTTTAATGCAATGTGTTTCAAATATCAACAGCATTTTTCACAAATCTGGAACAAATAATCCTAACATTTGAAAGGAACCACAAAAGAATCCAAACAGCCTTGGAAAGAAGAGCAAAGCTGGAGGCATTACAATTCCAGACATCAGGTTAGATTACAAAGCTGTAATGATCAAAACAAAATGACAGTAGCACAAAAATAGACACACACGTGAGTGAAACAGAATCAAAAGCCCAGAAATGAACACACAACTATATGGTCAGAGAATCTTTGACAAAACAGGGAAGAATAACAAAGGGAAAAAGACAGTGTGTTCCACAAATGCTGTTTATTAAACCAGACAGCAACATGCAAAAGAATGAAACTGGGCTGCCTTCTTACACGATACACAAAAATAAATTCAAAATGGATTTAAGATCTAAAGGTGAGACCTAACACCATAAAAGTCCTACAGGAGAATATGGTCAGATATCTCTTGGACATCATCCACAGTAACTTCTTTCTACATACGTCTCCTGAGGCAGGGGAGACAATAGCAAAAACAAAAACAAGAAAACAAACAAAAATACTACGGGGACTTCATCAAAATAAAAAGCTTCTGAACAATGAAGGAAATAACAGAACTAAAGGCAATCTACAGAATGGGAGAAGACATTTGCAAATCACATATCTGATAAAGGGCTGATAGCAAAAGATATAAGAACTTATAAAAGTGAACACCCTGAAAATAATTAAGGAGGGCACGTGTGGTGATGAGCACTGGTTATTATACGCAACTAATGAATCGTTGAACACTACATCAAACACTAATGATGTACTTAACTATATGTTGGCTAATTGAACATAATAAAAAACAAAACAGAAATAATCCAGGTTAAAAAATGGGCAGAAGACAGGAATAGACATTTTCCCAAAGAAGGCATAGAGATGATGAACATACACAGGAAAAGATACTCAACATCACTCATCTTCAAGGAAATACCTATCAAAACTACAATGAGATGTCACCTCACCCCTGCCAGAATGGCTAAAATCAACAACATAAGAAACAACAGGTGTTGGTGAGGGTGCAGAGAAAGGAGAACCCTCTTGCACTGGTCATGAGAATGCAAACAGGTGCCACCACTCTGGAAAACAGTATTGAGGTTCCTCAAAATGTTAAAAATATGACTACCATGATAGGTATGAAGGAGGGGACTTCTTGTGATGAGCTCTGGATGTTATATGTAAGTGACTAATCACTAAATTCTACTCCAGAAACCAGTATTACACTATATGTTAATTAACTACAATGTAAATTAAAATTTGATACCAAAAAAAATAGTACTACCCTACAATTGTACTACTAGGTATTTACCAAAAGAATACAAAAATACAAATTCAAAGGGATATGTACACTCTGATGTTACTCGCAACATTATCTACAATAGCCAAATTATGGAAAGAACCCAAATGTCCACTGACTGGTGAATGGACAAGGAAGATGTAGCATATATATACAATGGAATGTTACTCGGCCTTTTACAACATGGGTGGAGCTAGAGAGTATTACGCTAAGTAAAATAAGTCAGAGAAAGACAAATGTATGATTTCACTCATATATGGAATTTAAGAAACAAAACAAAGGGGAAGAAAGAGAGAGTGGCAAACCAAGAAACAGACTCTTGATGATAGAGAACAATCTGATGGTTACCAGAGAGGAGGGGGTGGGAGGAAGGGTGAAATGGGTGATAGAGATTAAGGAGTATGTACACTTGTGATGAGCACAGGGCGATGTACGGAAGTGTTGCCTCACTATGTTGTATACCTGAATCTCATATTATACTACATTAACTAACTGGGATTTAAATAAGAAAAATTTTTAAAAATCAATAAAAATCCTGATGCCCAGGTCATCTGAGATTTTTCCAACATAGCTCACCCAGAGTGTGGCTTTAAAAGTGCCTCCATGGATTCTCATGAGGACACAAGGTTGAGAATCCGTGGTGTGAAGCGTGTCTGCCAGATGTGATGGACTCCCATGATCTAGGCCATCCTGGGTGCTTGGCCCCACCTTCTGCAAGCCGGGCTCCAGTCAGGCTGTGTTCCCCTTTCCAACCCAGTCCGAGTTCTATGAAGGCTCAGCACGCTCTCCTCCCATCTGTTCTCATCCTTCCAGGCCTGGTCAGTCCCCAAACCCCTCCCTGGAGCCTCCCCATGCACCAGATCCCGTTCCCTCCTCTGCTCTGTTATAGGATACTGCAGGCCACTGTCATCAGCAGAGTCCCCAAGATGAACGCTTTGTCATTAATCCAGCCACTCCGTTCTATGTTTTCTTTGGACCTAGGAACGTCTTTAACTAGCATCTCATTTAATTCCTTTCTTAAACTCCCACCAGTGGCTTATAGTCATCCAGTAAAGTTCACAAGTGATTTGAAGTTGATTGAGAGCCCTGGGATGTAAATTGTGGAGAATTTTAATTTTAATAATTTAACAAATGACATTTGTGTATAGGCTTGGGGTGTGTGTATGTGTGTGTGTCTTGTCTGTCTTTCTGCAGGGGAAATACAAGCATGCCATTTAAAATTTTAAAATAACAAGTTACATTTTTAGAAGGATCTGGAAAACATAAAGAATTGTTGCCACTGAATCATCTCAAGCAAGGCTGTACAATACGGCCTACTTTTAGGACTTGTGCATTTATTATACAGCTCCTCCCTTTATTATACTTTTCAGAGAAGAGGAGGAAGATGGAATTGGTCTCCATTTTATTTGTGGCTTTGGGGCAGCTGCATAGCAGTGACTGACTACAAACGAGGGTCTAAGCCCTGAGAGAAAGCAGGGCTCTGGCACACCCAAGCTGGGGCAGACAGTCCCTGAAAGCTCCTGCTCACCCACGGGCTGGCAGTTCTCACCTTCCAAGGCATTTGCATACCCTTCAGTCAACCAACATTAGAAGGTGACTGCTTGTGGCTACCCCACACTTTAGGATAGTGACTGGGAGAGAATGGGGCTAAAGGTTCACTCAGAACACTGTGGGGTCTTCAACAGCTCACCATTTGCCTTATATTCTGGAGCCAGGAGATGGTAGAGAACAACCATCATGCTTCACGAAGAACTCCTGCCATCAGGAATGGATGGTTCCACTGGGAGAGGTGACAGGATCTTTAGCAGGGACGATGGCCACACATTAAAGTGTTTAAGACCCACTCGGGTTTACTTTGCAAGCTTGAACATACACAAAATATACTCTGTATTGCTTTTGAAAATGCTTTGACATGATGCCTAAGAATCTGGTTTAAGAGAAGGGAGTTGAGGGAAATTGGAAGGGGAGGTGAACCATGAGAGACTTTGGACTCTGAAAAACAATCTGAGGGCTTTGAAGGGGCGTGGGGTGGGAGGTTGGGGGAACCAGGTGGTGGGTATTAGAGAGGGCACGGATTGCATGGAGCACTGGGTGTGTTGCAAAAACAATGAATACTGTTATGCTGAAAAGAAATAAAAAATTAAAAAATAAATAAATGACCAAGAAAAACTGAAAAAAAAAAAAAAGCCCTCTGAGAAATAATGTTATAGATTTCTAGGGAAGAACTAATTATTGACTTTTCTATTTACCTACCTAAATGGATTCAAGGACTTCATTGAAGCACCAAATAACGCTCCCATAAAAACCTCTTGTTTTATAAAAATATCTTCAAAATTGTTCTTAAAAAAAAGTCTTAAGAATGTCTAAAATGGTCAAAAAATGCCAGTGCTGGGAGATAAGCATTATCACTAAGGCTAAGTAAATTTACATAAACTAGTAATAAGTCACTAATTTATGCATGCCTAAAATCCAGGCCTCAATCCAGGTTTTGTGTTTTGTGTGTTTACTTTTGGATACATGGTTCTCCAGCTCTAGCTATGCTACTATTACTATTATTGTTTATTTATTTTTGTTTGTGATCTAATAAAGCAACCTGAAATCCTCTCAAAAAAAAAAAAGATAGAAATTAAGATCAATTACAAACCTTTCAATATCAGGAACAAAAGAGAATGAACTCTTTAGACAATTTTCCCATCCTCTTATTTTATTTAAGCATCGATTCTAAGAAGAAACATTATTTGTAGAGACAGAACGTAAAATAAGTAAATAAATACAATGTTAAATAAAAGTTATTTTATTAAAAATTAAATAAAAAATGAAAGTGTCCTGAAAAAAAAAAATAAATAAACGTTTATTCCTTTTACTTAAAATTAAAGCGAAAGGACCACAACAAAATTTGATCCCCAGCCTGGTACAGAGTAGGTGCTCAGTAGGTATTTGCTGAATGAGTGATGGATGTATCCTCCCACCCCCCAGTCTCGACAGTTTACAGAGTAGGAGTAAGATTCCAGATATAGGAGTCTAATAGTAGTATTTATGTGTTTGAAAAACATTATTGTCCTTCATGTTTCTTGTCTCCTTTGGTTTTGTTGTCAGTAGGACTTCATTCCTGGTTTTCATATGCTTGTCTAACTGTTGTAGATTCACCTGGAAAGGAGCACTCAAGGGGCTGTTAAACTGGAAAAACCCATTGTTCTCAAGGTAGAGCCAAGAGATTGGAGTGTAAACAAAGCCTGACTTTCCCTAAGGACTTCCCCTTTGTTCTTCAAGATCCTGGATCACCAGAGACTTCAATTTACTTTGTGAGTAAAACCCAGAAATGAAGATGGCCTTCATGTATTGCCTGTGACAGATGACTAGGGATTCTGTACATTCGTTTAGCTTTCTCCAGTGTCTGTGTGGAGCATTTATTGTGGAGAGTAAAAGAAGTCACTAAAAAGTGCCAGAGATGTAGACTCAGCCTGTCTGGTTAACATAGACTACCCCCAGTTAGTACCATCTGTACCCCTGACCGTTGATCAAGAATAAAACTTCCTTAACAATTTTATCAACAAACTTTAAGGGAGACAAGAATTACTGTGATGACTGTAGTAGTGGCATTTATATCACATGTCTTATTTTAAATAGTCTACATTAAATATTACACTGAGCCAGTCAGTCAACAACTCTTTACAAAAATGCTAACCAATGCCTTTGTGTACATTAAGGGGGAATCCGTAGAACTGAGGAGTGAGAGCCAGTGACTAAATGTTTTGACCATTATAGTCGCTGGGTGGGTGGAGCTCGTTCAGAACTCCAATGTGATATATTATGATAAGTGAGAGTTAATCCACTGTGATTTTGCCCATTGGTCAGAAAGTATATTCACAATTTAATTCTACAGGTTGTGGAGCACAAGTTTTTTGTAACTTTCGACTGAAGCACTTAGTATTATATGATTCCTTTTGATTTCATGTTTTCATCTCATCTGCCCTGTTTTTCTGGTAGGCAGGGAACATGCTTTCTCTTTGTGTTTCAGCCTCAGCTCCCAACTGTCCTGACACAATGAACATCAAATCAGGGACAGTTGATCGGCCAGTGCATTGGACAGAAAGGCTAAAAGCATTTGTCCATTTCGGCTGGTATCAGGAGCTGCACAGGAGTCTTCTGTTTCCTTCCCCACCCCATCCCTACTTTCCCTTCTCCTCTCTTCTCTTCCTTTGCCTCCCTTCCTAGATAATTCAGTCCTAAAGCCAGAGGTGGGACACAGCCAGGTGGGCAGCCCCATATTTGGGGTCAGGGGCTAAGAAGGGAGTCACACTGACTCCAAATCAGAAAAATCAGAAACTAAGTAGGGTGCAAAGGGTAGTCACATGAAGAAGCAGCCTGGCATGGGTGTGGGAGCCCGAGCTAGGTAAGAAAGATGTCCACACATAGGGGTGGTCTGTCAAGAGTCCACAATGGGACGGGGTAAGAAGACCTCAACACCACCTCTGGCATATTCTTACCAGGGAGACAAACCTGCAAAAAAATTCTCAAAAAATCAGACAAAACCAAATAAAAGAATATCTACTCTTAATCTATAACTAGTGTATAATCTTCAATAAAATCAAGGTCCTAAAAGTGATTAAAAAAAAAAAGAAAAAACAAGCCCAGATTGGAGGCACTTGCCCCCCCCAGCCCCACCTCAAAGCAAACCAAGACTAATGAGTTTCAATCTATCCCAGGAAGGTGACATTTTAACAGTCCATCTGAAATTTCCTGATGGCCACTGGTGAGTCATCTTCAGGGTAGAAACCCTGCAAGTCCATCCTCCAGAAGGAAGGTGTCTTGACTAGAAACAATCCTTTCTTTTCCCTCTGTGCACTTCTTGCCCCACCCTTCTCCCTAGAAAACCCCGCATTTTGTACATTCCTGGGAGCAACTACCTACCTGCCAGGTGGGATGGTGCCAATTCATGAATCCCTTAATAAAGCCAATTAGGGCTTCAACTTGATCGCTGGAATTCTGTTCTTTAACAAAAGCCTTAACTTAGACGAAGTAAGTGTTCCAGACTGAAGTAAAGAGACTAAAGATAGGTGAAATGTAAAATCAGTGACCAAGTGAGGTCCTTCTGCTATAAAGGACATTGCGGGGACACTGGGGAAACGGGCTCTGATGGTTACTCGGCAGAAATGTGTCAGCGCCCACTTCCTAGCTTTGAGGGAGAATGTCTTTGTAGGAATGACGGGATTCTGAAACATTAGATCAGCAATTTACTTTGAGATGGATCAGGAGCAGAGTTCTTGGAAGAGACTCTTCTGGAAGCTTGTGATTGTTCTCAGGAGAAGAGGGTCACAGAAGCAGCCTACACAGCTCTCTACATCCCTACCTTAGTCTGACTCGTATTATTTAATGCAACAAGGCAGGACCACACAGTGATGAGAGATCGGGAGCTCTGAGACCGGAGCTCCTGGGGTTTGAATGCCATCATAGTCCAGGACTGAGTTTGGACCAATCAGTGGCTTTGGGTGGAAGAGGTAAAGGTGCCCCTTTTGCATGGCTGGGCCCACAGGACTTGGGCCACCCTCCAGTACAGGGACCTTGAACAAATTACCTAATACCTCACTCCTCAGGACTTGGTGCCTCTGACAGTTAAAATATAGGGATGATGCCAGTGCCTATCTGACCTAATGACAGAACCAGCTAATGTGTGTGAGGCATTAAGGACCCAAAACAGGGAACATGCAGTGAGCACATAATCAATGTCAGCTATTACTTTCATAGCATTGTTATTCTCAGTCCTCAGGAGGCCATCCATGTTCATTTGGACACTTGGGCTCCAACTTAGGCAAGTCCAGCTTCAATCTGCCATTCGAGAAAGTAATTGCAGACATCTTTCATGGAGGTTTAACTATGAAGGTATTGATGTCTCAGCTGATGTTTTTCAGGAATTTTCCAAAGAACAATATAAACATCCCCCTTCTAGAAGTGCCTTTGTCAAGAGAGAATAATGTGAAGCTCACTGAGTTGGAGCGGGGAGGTGTCAGCAGAGGGCGCCCTCGTATCCTACCATGCAGCCCCAACAGGAAGAGATGGACTTGACCTCACAGGGACTTGACCTTGCTCTACCTTACTATCCCAGCTGGAGGAAGAAGGGCTCTCCTTGTCACCACAACCCACCACCCCTTCTGCCTCACAAGAGCTCCACCAATGAGAAGCCTCCATACTTCTGATTCCCAGATTCCTCCAATGGACTCCAGTTCATAACAGCCTTCCCAGCTCCTCCTTTTCTCCTGGAAAGAACATACCATAGAAGTCACATTTAGGCAAACAGGCTTGAGTGATGGATTGTAGAAAGGCCCATCGCATCCCCCTGGCTGAATACAGACAGGCCCATCAGGTGACCCATCTCAAAATATCCATAGACCCAAACTTACCAGTGGGCTACTTACAACTGTGCACAGTTACCAAAAAAGAGAAAATGCCCTTTGTCACCATGCCTCATTTCCCCAAACAGTCCCCAGCCACTATGTCCTTGCAGTGTAACCAATAAACTCCTATCTCCTTTGTTCTGTCTCAGGTGAATTCTTTCACAGACTGTGCCACCAGCTTCTTCCCAATCATTGCCCCACAATTGGGGGGCCCCCATCCAAATGGGACAGGCACCCTATTTAGACACCACATTTGGTGGCCCCACATGGGGAGCCTGCCCCCCACACACACACACGCATTTGGTGGCCATTGATGAAGAGCCTCACTCTTCCCGGGTTCTCCAGGAATTTCTTAGGACTTTGCCTCAGTGGACTCATTCTAGCGGACCCAAGTGGAATGTAATTTGGTATTTAAACTAGTTGAAACTTTTATTCTACCAAGGTTAACTCAAGGTAAAATAAGATTGCAATTTGTTCACAAAAAGTTAACTTTATGAGATGGTTAGTTTTGTCCATCTTAACGTTTTCCAGGTTAATTTTTACCATACTTTCCAAAGTATTTGGTAACCTGAAACTTTAAAGTTTTGCTTGAGTGATAAATTGGATGAGTTCATTGGCCATCTAAATCTTTTCCAAATAAGGTAAGATATTAAAGCATTGATTACTGAACTTAGGTTTGTGCTTTTGGCTTCTTACTGCACACAAACCAAGGATATTTGGGTCTATCAGTAAACATGCTTTTTGTTTAATTGATTCATTAATCTGTCATCTAAAGAATTGCAGTGTACAGTCAGAATGGCTAAAACAACAGATGTTGGCAACGGTGAGGAGAAAAGGGAGCCCTCTTATACTGCTGGTGGAAATGTAAGCTAGTACAGACACTCTGGAAGACAGTATGGAGGTTCCTCAAGAAGTTGAAAATAGAGCTACCCTATGACCCAGCAATTGCACTACTAGGTATTTACTCCAAAGATATAAATGTAGTGATATGAAGGGACACCTACACCCCAGTGTTCATAGTAGCAATGTCCACAATAGCCAGACTGTGGAAAGAGCTGAGATGTCCATCAACAGATGAATGGATAAAGAAGGTGTGTATATATACAATGGAATATTACCTAGCCATTAGAAAGGAGGAATACTTACCATTTATATCGACAAGGGTGAGACTGGAGGGCATTGTGCTGAAGGAAATAAGTCAATCACAGAAAGACAATTATCATATGGTTTCATTCATTTGTGGAATATAAGAAACAGCACAAAGGATCATAGGGGAAGGGAGGGAAAACTGAATGCGAAGTCATCAGAGGGGAGGGAAAACCATGAGAGACTTTTTTTTTAAGATTTTATTTATTTGACAGAGATCACAAGTAGACAGAGAGGCGGGCAGAGAGAGAGGAGGAAGCAGGCTCCCTGCTGAGCAGAGAGCCCAAAGTGGGGCTCGATCCCAGGACCCTGAGCCAAAGGCAGAGGCTTTAACCCACTGAGTCACCCAGGTGCCCCAAGACTTTTATCTGTAGGAAACAAACTCAGCATTACTGGAGGGGAGGTGGTAAGCTGATGGGGTAACTGCTTGATGGCTATTAAAGAGGGCACTTGATGTAATGACCCCTGGATGTTTTACATAATTGATGAGTTATTGAACACTACATCTGAAACTAATGATGTACTATATGTTGGCTAATTGAATTTAAATTTTAAAAATTAAGAATTCCACTGTAAAAATTCACATTTGGTTGCTACTGAGTTTTCACTGGAAGAATAAGATTTCTAAGGGTTAAAATTCTGACAAATGTAATTAAAACTGATGGAAGTAAGGGAAACAACTCTGTATGTAGGGAAATAGGAGATGTATAAGAAAGGTATAAGGAATGGGAATATATTTTTGTTGAAGGGAAAAGAAAGTAACTTTGTCCTAAAATGAGAACAATTGTTTGGAGAGAAACAGTTTGGACAAAATATGAATGCAAAAGAAAACTGTAGAAGGTTGTGAAGGGAAATCTTTGGAAAGGAATATTTTGTGTGGTCAGAGTGGACTGGACTAAAATTGAAATGAATGGGTAAAATATGCTGTTATAAGATTGAAATTCTGCTTTCTGTCTGCTAAGGAAACAAGATTTTCTTGGATTATTAGTTGAGAGACATGCGTAGACTCACATGTGCCAGACAACTTTAAGGAACTAAGGTTGACTTTATGGAGCCAACAAAGCCCCTTAGAAGTTTGTCCTGATTCCTTGTTTCCAGAGTTCCTGGCAGGCTTACCAGGTAAGTAAATAATGTCAGTTCCTGGCAGGTGTGGGAGCCTCCCGATATGTTGGGGAACTCCAGAAGAGGAATTTGCCCAAATCTACAGGTATTGTAGGCATGTCCGATGGTAAGTATTTGGCTTGGCTTCTGCCCTAGAGAGGCTATTGAAAGTTCAATCAAGATACCTTTTGAAAAGTTCCATCAGAACAGATTTTATATCCGTATGATCAATCACTATTCTTTTTGAGCTTATGAAAATAATTCAGTCAAGTTTGTATAATGCAAATGGATTTAAATGTTATCTGCAAATGAATTAGTCTTGATTTGGCTGTCTCTGGAAATAAGGGTGAATATAGAGAAAGGTTATGTTTCAATAGTACAACTTTGCGGGTGTTAAATTCTAGTTCTGATTGTCTTTGAACATTTGTTGTTTAGCAAAGCTAGACAGCTTGAGGTAAAGTTCTGGAAAATTGCCACAATGGCTTATATACAGATACTCTTCATGCCTGTTATCGTATGGGGATAATAACGGGAGCCTTGGATGTATGATTATTTGACCAGCTTGAAAATGGAATGGATTCCCCAACAACTGTATAATTCAACCACCACCTTGACCCCAGAGTCCCCCAAGGGAGAGGGATGGATGGCTCTGAGGCCAATTTCAGCCCCACTGGCTTCTTCTCAGGGCCCAGCACACTGCTGAGCACACAAAAAGCCTTCAGTGAAAACATCTTGGGGCTGTTTGTGAAACACATATTGGAAAAACACCCAGACTTCCACCAGTACCACACATCCTTTTGTCATTCAGGGATTTCCCAACACTGCTATCAGGAGGTTCATCTGAACCTCAACTATGCTTGGAAGTTCAGCCGAAGGTTCTTGTTCTGACTTTTGCTTATATCCACAAACATTTCCTTGGCACTGCTCTGGATCATGTCCAAATGTGCCCCCATTCATGGCAAAAAGTCACTTCCCTGAATAGACAGATTCAGGACTGTGGAAGGTCAGCTTCAGGAGGTAGAGAGCACGCACTCAGGAAGAGCACTTGTCCACAAAGGTGGTTGGGAGGGGCTCATACCTGGACTGAGGCTTCTAAAACTTAATTTTATTTTAAAAATCAAAAGCATAAA